CATTTAGTCTTTCTTCCACCTTAATGATGTTGCGATCTAAACAAGCGATGTTATCACTATTCCCAGAGATCTGGGTATTCATGTTACGGACATTGCCCCTCAAGTCAGTGATGTCTTCGTCGACTTGGTCGATGCAATCTCGCAATACTCGTGCCATTTCAGATGCGAGGGAGTGGGTTGGGGATGGAGGATGCAATGCACGCATTGGGATGTATGCTGCAAGAGTCTCAGCTATGAGGGCTTCAGACATTGTGACTTGGTCAACGTCCCTCATATAGGTTCGATGCGTCTGAGATGCGTCGCTGGGCCCTTGCAGGCCCAGATCACCACCATCACTTGAGGTGGTGTTGTCTTCTGCCCTACGGCCAGTGGAGGGGCCAGCCGTGTTGGTGGGAGCATTAGACATGCTCCTGGTGTTGTATCTCCACGACATCAAGAGGATGTGTCAAGTCATTCAACAAGTTCACATGAGAACTTGATCGAAGTTGCGCATTGTCAGGGGCCGATGATGCACGCTGAAGGAGAGAACGAAGGAAGGTCAGTTGGGAGGTTCAAACGAGACCACCACCAAGCTGTTCCCTGGTTCTTTAGTTAGGATGGGGAAGTGTACTAGTATTATTAGTTGTAAATATAGTACCAATCCGAGTGTTTTGGCTAATTCTATTTTTATGGGTTAGTCTAAAATTTCTGGGAATTGACTTACAGATAAACCAAGCCCTGCGGAGCTGTTCCTTTATTGAAATTTCTTAATTTGTCTAGGTGTAATTTTGTGTAGCGTTGTTTAATTTGGAATTTAACTTGAACCAAATCTTCTACTTGGTGAAGTTTCAAAGATTCTACTCAGTTAATGGATTTGGTTTGTGTCTGGAGTGTCCCTTGAGTTTGTTTTATTTTTGTTTTATTTTATTGCTTGTTTTAATAGTAGCAAAATAACTGTTTTGTGTTTACACTTTGAAATCTGGAGTGTTAACCAGCTCTCCTGTTGAAATATCTACTTAATATTTCTCTCCTTTATTGCTGCCTTTTACTACAGTAGCAATCTTAACTGTATATCACTTTTTCGCACTGGAGTGACAACCAGAAATGCTTGAGAAAAATAATACTCTATTTTCTTACTTCTCTGAGGGGGCGAAAAGTCGCAGAAAGGGTCTCCCTTTTATACTCCTTGGGTCGCCTTCCTTTTTCACGCTCTACCTCCTATTTACAGGATGTATTTACAGTGTATTTTTCTCAAACTGAATAAAAAATGAATTTTTCACGCTATAGTTCTACTGCGCTCAGCTGCGCTGAACTGCGGCTCTACTGCGGTCAGACTGCGCCTAGAATCCTTATTGTCCTTCCTCGCCTAAGCTATTTTAATGGTTAATTAAAACTTGACTGCACTGCATTTGTCGCAGTTTTCCTATTTCAAATTCCTCATATTTACCATTAAAGCTATGACTTGGTGATTATGAATTCAAACTTCGCATTACTATGCGTACGGCTGCGCTGAGACCTTCAGCTGATTTATTCCATTTTTATTCAGCGACATTTAGTTAAAATGAGACTTGAAATGGTAAATGAGTGAATTATTCAGGTTTAAAACCGAAAGAAAAAGTTGCTAGTAGTCAAGAATTACTCAAACGAATGTATTATAGCTCTCCACTTCATTAGAATATCGTTCCCTAAAATTCCCACCATGGTCCGCCATAGTTTAGTGGTTTTCGTGGATTTCGTTCATCTTCCCTGATTCCCATTTGTATTATCACATCCTAATCCTCCATATGTGTTGTTCGTTGTTTTAGTAGGTCGTCCTCGAAGATATCATATTTTTATGTATTTTATTTAGGGCTCTGGACCTCTTGAAGCTGTCTTCCCGGGCGTTTTCAGGTTTCTAACTTCATGTCCTTGTATCTCATTCATTTCTGGATGGTTTCTCACGTTCTTGGTATCATAAATTTTCATTTATTCCCACCTTTCCAATGGTACTAAATTTGTGTTCTATTTCCTGGTATTCGTCGAGTTAGCAAAAGTTCACGCGTGCATTCGGTAATCATGTGCATCGTTCCCATAGTCGTTCGTATGCGGGCGCTGTTTCTGTTTAATTGTTCAGGATTTATGGTATGCGCGGGTGTTTATATCCTTCATATGGGCTTCTGTGATTTATTTCAGATTTTTCCCTCATGATCTAAGGTTGTTTTGCACTTTCCGTGCTTTGTTTTGACCGGGCTCTTCCTTATTTGGATGGAAATTGGTCTTCGCAATCTGCCAAAGTGTGGATCTCGGTTCCAATGGCCGGTTCCCTTCACATTGCCACCCTCACGTGTCATTAAACATGATGCGGATTTCTATACTCCCGTCATTGGTATAACTTTACAACAGCTGGACCGTTTGGGCTGAAAATTTGCATAACTATAGTTTCCTATTTTTCATAATTTCCGTGTAAATTTTGTTGTATGTTTTAATTAAGGATCCTACGTAAACATCGTTTTTTTTCCCTGAGCTCGGACTTTTGATGTTGCTATTCCCATTATTGGATATCTCATTAATGTGTGATCCTTTTATTATGAAAATTTGGGTGGATTAAGATTAGATCCCTTCCTTCCTAATGGGCTATCAAGCTCGTCTCGGTCGTTACTGGTTATTCTTCGCGCTTGTTTTTTTAAGCATTGTCCTCTTTTTGCAGGAGTTTTAGTCATATCTCCATCGTTTATGGGTAGTTTTCCCTGTAATTACTTTCATTGGGTCCATTTGGGGGACATCTACATTTCCTATTATAAACACGACTTTGAATTTTGCATTAGTTCCTGAGGAATCCTTGTCCTGTGGTACTTCCATCCTTGGCTATGTGTGCGGACGTGGGAAAGTAGTTTCCATGGAGGTTCTCTGATTGTTTTTATAGTCAAATCTTGGTCGATTGTCCTAATTCTTTGTTTAATTTTTGCTATAAATTCCCCCGAGAATTCTGTCTTGTTGATGCTAAGCTTGAAGTATTTTTGCTAATTTTCTTTCTTTCAATTTATCGCATATAATCATGATAATTCGTAAAAAAAAATTCATTAAAGTTCAGGTCCTGCTATTTTCTCATATCTACTTGTCATATGGGGTTTTGTGATTTATCTGGCATATTTCCATAATGGGTTTCCATAGTGTGTCTGTTATTTCTCCTACACCGGGCACTGCTGGACTAGGTTTGTGTCAGGGTTCAGCACCCTGCCCTAGGGTGCCCCAGACTCCCCAACCAATCCCTTCCTTCCATTCCTTCATTGTTGCCTTGTTGTTGCCTTTCTGTGTTGTGTACACACGCGCACACGGGATAGCGTGGGAACTTTCTGAGCGAGCAGCTCGCCCAGAATGTTCCCACGGGTCACAGCCACAGTTCTGGGCGAGCAACTCGCCCAGAACGTTCCCACGCTTACTGGGCACTGCCACCTGGATGTTCCCTCCGGGTCACACTACACAACTCTAGGAGCTGTATAGTTGTGGGCATGTGACCCATTCCTTTATATAGCAACCATGCGGGGAGATGAGACCTTTACCCTTCTTCTCATCTCATGCCCCGCATAGGCAAGTGTATATATTATCTTTCCTCTTACTATACATCTCATGCCCCGCATAGTGTGAGGACAGGTGTAAGGGATGGACAGGGATGGGATGATGCGCGCTTTGCGCGCATTTCAGTTATTCTTTTATTCTTTAATACTCTTCGTAATAAATAATGTAAAACAACTGTATATATATATAGTGTCCGGGGTCGGGGAAAGGGGCTTTGCTCTTCTCCTCCCCCCCCTGTCGAATACTAGCTCCATACAGTCTACGTTATCGACAGCCTGAGGATTGAGGAGTCACCAAGGCCGGCACCCCAACCGGCCTTACAACAGGCCAGATGGGGGTTGAGGTCAGGGAGCCTCCGAGTCCGAGGCCGGGCCCTGACAGTTTGTCACGCTTTTCTGACCTTGGCAGTTGGCTGTCACACATTACATCAGCTCTGTGGTTGCGATGCCCAGGGTAAATCTCTGTCACACTCCCAACCCATGCAGTTGTTGGTCATGTGAGTACAGTAATCGTGCCAAATGCAGTCATATGCCTTCTCCTGGTCAAGGGCAATAATTGCTCCATCTTGTCCAGTTAGTTCACATAGGTCGGTCATACAGTTGACAAGATCTATTTGGTCGAAAATATTGCGGCTTTTGATGAAGGCCGTGCCATTTTGCCCCAGTCAGAGGAGTGAAGTGTCGCAGGCTAAGTTTCGGAGTAGGTGATCGGATATTTGTTTAACTCCGTACCATGTGATCTTTTGAGTACAGAACGTGACTAGCATCGGAAGCAGTCAAGTACCAGTGTGAGAATGTTTATTTACATTGCGTAAAAAAGCTATTATTCTGCGCGTCCACGGAGCTCCTCCGACTGGGTACGAGTCTGGATTAGTACAATCAGTACAATCAGCTCAATCATCCATGTGATTGGTGTAATTGCAATCAGGGGACCTGGTTGTGGTGATTGTAAATTGTGAGATTGAAATGATCCCAATCACCTCAATCGGCCTCAGGGGTTTCCTGATGAGAGCAAGCCATTCCCCTATTCTAATTCACCGCAAAGGCAAAGGGACCAACAACTCAATATAAGGTGTTATCATCTGGAAGGGCGCCGCTTGGTTCAATTGTAGCAAATACTGCTCAAGGTCCTACACGGGCAGGAGCCGCATGTTGCGTTGATAGGGGGCCGAGAAATCAATGTAGCAGGGGAGGCAATCGCAGCAGGAATGGCCCTAGGGGGAAAAAAATTCCAATTTTTGCTTGGAAATACTGGGACCAAAGTCCCGAAGCTGGACCGAACCGTTCATCCTGTAATAAAATTGTCGGTTGTGATAGTACATAACTACCTTAGAACAATGTGCCCCGGTCGGGAGAACTACCTCTACCAACATCACATCAAGTACGATGGTAGGCTTTGCATTAGCCAGCAACATTTCGTCGCCACTCAAGCCCATGTATCCCCTTAATTTATAGGCATTCGACCTCACCCCCTTCAAAGAGTCGTGGGTTGTTGGTCCCCAAGACACTGAATTCTACACACGCACTTATGACGTCCACCCAGCTTTACCTCGCCCTCAAGCACATATCGTTTATGTGCATGGACACTCCGAACACATTGGAAGATATGAACTCATTTTCCCTCAGTGGACTGCGAGGGGCATTTCTGTCTTTGCTTTCGATCAGAGAGGGTTTGGGCGAACAGTGCACGATCGATGGCATAACGTGGCAAGCAAGGGTGAAGAACTAAGCGAAGCACTGATTGAGGAACGGTACTCCGTTTCGAGCTGGGAGCAGCAAATGAACGACCTTGCGTTTTTCATTCGGCGTGAGAAGGACAGGGTTGGAGATGTCCCTGTTTTCCTCGTTGGTTATTCAATGGTGCGCACACAACATTGACTTTAAGGACTGGTGCCTGACCGATGTCCGACCTTCAGGGAGGTGGAGCGTCTCTTTCGTTCCCTTGTAGACCTCACCCTCACGAGGGAATAGTCAAGTTAATTAAGGGAATCATTGCTGTTTCGCCATCGATTGGTCCCGGCATAAAGAAGGGACTGCACACAGCTCCCGATCAAGGCGACAGAATGGAAATAAACTGGGGGCTCCTTTCACAGGTTCATTCAAGACTCTTTGACAGAACTCGTGCGTTTATACTGACACCAGACTTAGTTCCTATCAAAAGATAACCGAGTGTCCTTGGCTGTCCGAGCGGATCCGTTTATAAAATCGGCTTGCCATGCAGGCCTTGCGAAGGATATCTGGGACAATGTAATGCCGTCTGGTGGAAGGAAGACACCTTACTGAACAATTTTATACAGGGCGCTCAATTATTGGGCAAGCACTATGACAGATGGCCTGAGGACCTTCCCGTTCTCGTTGTCCACGGAAGTGGTGACATCGTAGGGACAAATTTTGTGCCGTCCTAATATTTCTTATTGAGTTCGGGCGATTCGATCAGATCACATCTTATGCAGATTCCAAGGCATTTATCGAAAAACTCAGGGCGAGCGATAAGCGCTATTCCTTGATTCCCGTGGGTGGCAATGTTGTGTTTTTCATCCATTTTGATAATTTTCGTCAATTTAGGGCGGTTTCCACGAGTTACATCATGAACCGGATGGCGTAGGAACGAACTTTATCAACGAGTGCATAACCTGGGTGATCACTCATGCATAAAGCTCTTGTGCCTTAGGTAAGAATCGCGTGTGGTTGTGATTGCACCGGTTGACAAGTGAGGGTTTTCGTGGTTCGATGGCAAAGAGCCTCTTCATGATGGAAATAGCTGTGATATCGCACTTCGGAATAACCATGGACTCTGGCCCCTGATGTGACTGGTTCTGGACACCACTAGATGAAGACGACTTTTAGTGTGATTATTTGTGGCGCAGGATTGAGATGCTGAAATGGGACGTGAGAAGCGAAATTATGAGTTCCCTGGTGGATTTGAACACCTTGTTAGCGGCTTCACGCGCACGGAATACGGTTTTGTCTATCACTGTTCCCTTGACGATCTTGCTCACCTCCTTCCGTGAACACCCGCTAGCCTCTCGCGCTGCTCTGTCATGCTCTACAAATTTCATGGATCATCACATTACCGAGAACGTGAATAATGCTGTGGGGGGGGGGGTTGCACCTAGGATAGAGTGCCCGATTGAAATTGCTTATATCTGAAGAACCCATCAGAGGAAAAGAAACCCTGTTCTTTTGTAGTTCTAACTTTTCTCGTGTCTGCGTTACTGCCTGTGTGCTAATCACAATTCGGGACCATGTATGATATTGACTACTAAGGATTTACAACGATGCTGCGTTCTGCATTGTGATTAATGACGGTCGGGATGATGTAATTGGTGTCTTCAAGTTGCCCCCTAGGCGAAAAGTCCATCAGGAACACGCCTTGGTTCCCCACACCCCAGATTCTCGACCCTTCTAGCGCCAAGTTGTAAGTCGGCGACCAATTTGACTGTGGGGGAAATACGCTCCAACCGCCTCCGGCGATGTGAGCATTGTCGTTGGAGCCCAGCTGGTCAAAATCATAGATCGTCCCGTTGACATTCCGCAAGTCCCAGATTGACACAATCCCGTGATTGGCCCTTCCTCCCACAACATGCGTTCCTCCGCCTCCTCCTATAGCTAAACAATACAAAGCGCCTCCTGGACTCGTCTTATCATCGAGTCTCAGCACAGGAAGCAAAGATCCTTCCTTATCACGATGATCACTTCGGAGGTCGTGAAACCTGACAATCCCATCGTGCCAACCGCTCGCGATAACCTGATCGGTTGAACCCCATGGAGGACTAACTTCGGCTGTGGAGTCGCCCGAGGGGCGACATAAAGAGTACGCAGACGGAGGATAATTGGATTCATCACTGAGCACAGCAAAAGCATTTCGCTGGCTCTCAAAGTTCTCAAGCGTATAAAGGGACAATGGGATGCTGCCACCAAAAGCAACGAACGGAGTAGACGCTGTAAGGGAGAGTTGTGCACACCATACATTCTTTTTATCCCCCGAACGAGGGGGCTTGAAATTTCGCGGAGGGACCCAGGGTGAGGAAGAATCATATAAAGACAATGTGCAGTCATTCGAAATTGTCATTATAAGGTGTCGGGACGACGTTAATAGTTGGATCGAGCTCGGATTGCGGGGGCGCTGGTATGTTGCAGTCACTTGCACGTCGGAGGCAGTAGCAGCGCCATCCCCTGCTATCCTGCCGCCACGGCTAGGTCTAAGGATGCGAACTCGAGTCAGTGTCGTTTCACGAGCGATACAGATTTCTACGTCCTGATTGGGGCTCGCCCAAATAGAACCCGGCACAACTGTGATCCCGCAGATGTGACTTTCTGCGCGGTTTGGTCCTATTCCTAGCCGAAGACTATGGAAAATCCATGAGGCCGAATGTCCCTCATGTTTGGCACCAGGTTCGAAATCGAAAATCTCGAGGTCAGGCCCACTAGAGGTGACGAGCACAGATTCGCTCAATGACAAAGCACGCGAAGGCACTTGCCACGAACGAGGATTATCGTGGGCACCCGATAACAGAGTAGCTTGGAGGGTTCGTGTAGACCATGCAAGGTCAGATAAGTAAACATATCTAGCGCATTCTCGGGGCGACCAGTACGGAATTCTGCATTTCGCCAATTAGCAAGATGAAAATAAATATGATCGACTCTGCCTACAATTTAGAAAGGGAAGGTAGATATCTTGCATTTTGCCTCACATATCGGCGCCATCCATCATTCTCTACCTATGTTACCAAATTTACTTAACGAGCATGCTGCAGAGCAGCAGCAAGGCGCTTACGAGCTCATGGTAGCGCTTCGATACTTGGCTAAGACGAGTCAAGTCGCCAACAGAGGACCATTTCAAGATTTCCAGGCAAACGTCATATGGAAGTGCATCGACGAATATAGCCATTGCATCAAATGCCCACTAAACCAGCACTTGCAGCTTAACAAATCCCCACGGCTTCGCCGTGGCGCGGGATCCGGAGCTGAACACTACTATACTGGGTCTTCGGTGCAAACATGTATAAATGGTGGACGCGGCAAGGGCCCGCTACTCTTCTCATAACTGTTTTTCGACGTTTGGCGACGTTTGGTTTTGGATTTATGGATATGACATCGTGTCTTCACTCTTTGCGTTACCACCATATCAGAACACTCTTCCCCTACTGTCTTCAGTACGCTTCACAACCGTGTTTTTCCACACAGAGTCGTACTTACGGAGCTGACTGGGTGTGAGCTAACGGAGTTATTCCCGCTACTCCGTAGCGGAGTAGCGGGTCCTGCAAATTTAAGCCCCACACTGTGCACCGGGTCCTCTGTAACCTAAGGTCCTCTTTTCCCATTATGACAATGACAATATAATTCGGGCCACTCACTCCCTTATAACTCCGTTAGCTCACACCCAGTCTGCTCCGTAGGTACGACTCCCTTATGGGACCCGCTACGGAGTAGCGGGGATATTCCAGCTTCCCTCATCTCCTTAGTCGGCCTGCTCACCCCCAACTGACTCATGGGATTGCCTCCGTTGCGCGCATTGAACCTTAAATGGACAAATCACTTTGTAATATTATCAGGGGTCTGTTAACACCGAACGTGAGTTGCACATCTGCGGAGACAGCGGCAAGGCCAGTCCAAGCCGGTTCCAAAACTAGTGTTCCAAGCTCCCACAGTATCCAACTCCCCTTCTAATACGTTTGTCATTCTATGCAACGGACCTGCTGGACGGCCAAGCGCCGATAATGATGTTGCCACTGGTCACCGACGACAATGACCATCATACCCGGATAAATACCGAAAGCCCTTGACGATACTATCCAGATGCTAGAACTGGCATATGCGACTTTTTGATAGATGGCCGCAGTTGAAAAGACGACTTCCACAGTGCGAATAGGTACAGGGCGTGCTGGTCGCATCGGTTGCGGCCTGGCTACCATATCACCGAGCAACGATGAAAATCTGATGCAAGTCGTTGGGAACTGACTGAGTGCACAAACGTCGTTTTCGAACGACCTTGGTGTGATTCTTGTTTTGCTCAGAATTTGTTCAGACTGAACGTGTATTACAAAGTGAGTGCACAGGATCCAGCATGGTTAAAGATGCCTTCGTAAGGGGTCTTACCGGCACATGACATTACTTGCGCGCGCGGCTACATTGGCAAATTAATTGTTGGGGCGAGGAACACACACTCACGCTTGAAATCTTCCGGCTATGCCGCTACGATTCAGCGCGCGGCTCTGCTTTCAATTGCCCACATGGGAACTTGGGATCAATGCGGGTCTGCCCCTTTCTACTTTTGCACTCCTTCTGCTTTTGCACCCCTTTGCAACCCTTCTGCCTTTGGACCCCTTCTGCTTTTGCACCTCTCCTGCTTTTGCACCCCTCCGTATGTCCAGCAACCCGGCCATGGCTGACGATCAGTTAACGATTCTAACGCGCTTGGGAGACTTGGGCGGCGGCTCTAGACTACTGCTACTGGTATGGGATCTGGCTTGGATTGGGGTATTCACAAGGTTTCCATCAATTTGTCCTAGTAAACCGGTACTACATAACAGCGTCCAACTGTTTAACTTGTCTAAAATCGTCACTAGGACTTGACATTCAACATCATCGCTTCCCCTGAATAATTAATGGGAAGCCTCAATATCGCATCAGACGGATCCTGCCGTGCCATGATTGCGATTGCGATTGCGATTGCGATTGCGATTGCGACTGCCTTTTCCCGGCTTCATGACCCCGATGCCTACCACTCAGTCGCATCGAGATCCACAACCTGGAAAAAGTGCAAAGGTCATACACGTGGCCGTGCAGTGTCACTCTCCACCTCCCGTAATTACGTTTTTTGTGCCACTTTTGTTTGCGTGTTTGTCTTTCTGAGGTGCATGACCTCATGTTTATTACATGTTTATAACTGGTGGACACGGCAAATTCCCGCCACTCATTCGGCCTCGCAAATTTCCCAATTGTTTGCATCCACCTTCTCAGAAATCAGGGAATATCCACAGGTTGAGGGAGCATGGCACCGAGAGCAAAACGACCTCCACACACACACGGTAGTTGGGAGAGAAGAGGATAATGATGCGAAGGGGTTCTCTATCATTTGTTCTTTACTAGCTGCTGTCAGGGATCAAGTAGGGCCAGCCAACGGGTGGCGTCCTGTGCGTGCCATTCCTGGTAAAGACGGTTAGAATGAGCCGCAGTAGAGGAGGAAGAGTGAAGTATAAATGAGTGATGCAAAGAGGACAGAATGGCTTTCGGATTGAGGGGAATTTTGAAGTGATACAACACCTGGCATAAGAATTTATTGTGTGCAACGTCGGTGAGAAAGAGGGAAACACCATTTTTAATATTCGGTGCTCGGCAATGGGCAGTCACATTTGGTCTTGATTGAGGGGTGGAAAGCAGAGATTAGGAATACAGCGAAAAAAAAAAAAAACACAGAGTGTGCGCTGGCAAAGTGCTTTACTCCTTCCGGATGGATTTTGCAGAATTATCTTTGTACCATATGTGACTTTGTTCTCTGTCCCTCTGCGGCAACTACTGTATATACTTCTTTGTACCATATATGCGCCTTGCACAAGTTACAATCTCTGATTGGGAAAAAAATTGGCTTTAATGGGTGCTGTGCAGGTGACCGCGATGCAAAGCACGCACTCTAGTCAACTAGGGCCCGATATATCCCTTAGAATTAGATGCGGCTGTAGATGTGTAACTAGAAATACCATGACCTTGCCAGCGACGGTCCCTCTCAATTCAAACTGCTAATTCATTGTTGACAGACCCTACGGTTGCCGAGCAGGGCCAGGTCTAAGTTTGCATCCGACTCAAGCGCCGCGCGTCACGACCTCATCGCTACGCGTCTATACATAAGTCAATTTGCGTTTTAATGGCTCCAGCGCTGTTGTGGACATACTAGGCACCACACCAACACTTTTTCTCGCTTTTTCCGAGCGAAATTCATGCCTTACATACCTGCGCTTTGAACTCACCGCTACGCGTCTCTACATAAGTTAACTGCATTTTAAGCGACTCTGGCGCTGTTGTGGACATACTAGGCACCACACAATCACTTTTTTTTGGCTTCTCTTCTCTGGTTAAAATTTGGACATTCTTGGAGTCTCTTTGGTCCGCAAACCGCTGATTGATCAAGCTATGTGTCACATAGGTTATGTATTACATAGTTTTGTATGTATACTGGTAACATCCCTGACTACTATCACCCACTTACGGTTGCCCAGCAGGCCAGGTTGAACGTTAACGTTCGCATCATGGCCACAAGTCACGTGATTTTTTATTTTTTTCATTTTTCTGTTGAGCTCACCGTTACGCGTGTTTACACTGCTACAAACACCACATCAGACTCGTACCCAGTTGTTTTCACTCTGTGGACGTGCGCGCGACACTGCAATGTGGAAATGCGACTAAGTAGTTTTGTATTCAATGTAAAGTCACGTTCTGCTTTCAATACAAAGAGTCACATGCTACTCCGCGCGGCAACACCTCACACCATTAGCAGTGGCAGTCCACTTACGCATTTGCCAAATTCGACGCGATCCTCTCAGAAAACAATTCTGGAACACATGAGGTTCCCCATGTCTGCACAAATTTTCGGGGTAGCATGTGACTCTTTGTATTGAAAGCAGAACGTGACTTTACATTGAATACAAAACTACTTAGTCGCATTTCCACATTGCAGTGTCGCGCGCACGTCTACAGAGTGAAAACAACTGGGTACGAGTCTGATGTGGTGTTTGTAGCAGTGTAAACACGCGTAGCGGTGAGCTCAACAGAAAAATGAAAAAAAATATAAAATAAATCACGTGACTTGTGGCCATGATGCGAACGTTAACGTTCAACCTGGCCTGCTGGGCAACCGTAAGTGGGTGATAGTAGTCAGGGATGTTACCAGTATACATACAAAACTATGTAATACATAACCTATGTGACACATAGCTTGATCAATCAGCGGTTTGCGGACCAAAGAGACTCCAAGAATGTCCAAATTTTAACCAGAGAAGAGAAGCCGAAAAAAGTGATTGTGGTGCCTAGTATGTCCACAACAGCGCCAGAGTCGCTTAAAACGCAGTTAACTTATGTAGAGACGCGTAGCGGTGAGTTCAAAGCGCAGGTATGTAAGGCATGAATTTCACTCGGAAAAAGCGAGAAAAAGTGTTGGTGTGGTGCCTAGTATGTCCACAACAGCGCTGGAGCCGTTAAAACGCAAATTGACTTATGTATAGACGCGCAGCGATGAGGTCGTGACGCGCGGCGCTTGAGTCGGATGCAAACTTAGACCTGGCCCTGCTCGGCAACCGTACAGACCCTCAATTCGAACTCATTCTCGTCGTCTCTCTCAATTCAAACTGCTAATTCATTGTTGACAGACCCTCAATTCGAACTCATTCTCATCGTCTCTCTCAATTCAAACTGCTAATTCATTAGTTGTTCTCAACTCAAACCCATTCTCATCGTCTCAATTCAAACTGCTAATTCATTGTTGACAGACCCTCATCAATTCAAACTCATTTTCATCATGCATCTCTCTCAATTCAAACCACTCGCTAGCATCGCAGCAAAGTTTCACTAATGCCTCAGCACCCTGGCGTATGGACTGGTCCTGCCACAAAGGGGAATGCTCGCCCAGCCATGGCCCATTCATATATTTTCCCCTCATACCAGACTATTAGCAGCTAGCTGGTGCTCCCAACCACGCTGCTTCAGTGCACACCTCTCCGTTTGCTATATATACAAGTCCTCTATGATCCCTTCTACCCTCGACTCAATCTACTTGGCTGTCGCTGTGCCCTTCTCCTTCGCTACCTGGCGTTCACCTCATTCCATTTCATTGAAAGTAGTGGAAAGCTATCTGCCTACATCTGCAACATTCTTCAGCTTTCACTCTTTCGTCACCTCCGTCCTCGATGGATCAGTCCCATCTTGAGGATGCACACCATCAACTTCTCTTCATCCAATCTGATGCCACTGATGGCTCACCTCCGCATCTTGAGGAGGTCCGCCACGGTGATGGTTTGATCAACCGTGTGCCGTTCTCTTCTAGAGATAGGGGACTAGTGCCCATCGGTATTCACCTCAGGAACGAAAGACCGAATGAAGATGAACTTGTCCGTGTGAGGGGTTGTTCGAATGCTGACGTACACATGCTGAGGATGTGGGTGCGTCGGGACATTGTCTGTTTCGGTTTATCTGCAATTAATAGGTTTCTTCCCCCTTCAGCCCGAAGATAGGTCGTGTATCGGTGTATCGGCCATTGACATCGAGGGCCACCCCCATAATACAGTCGTACCCTCACGCTTGTTCGACGTACTGGTCCATGTACCTTCTTCAGCTCATACTACTTACCCAGCGCATGTCTACCTTGACGCGTTGAGGGGAAGTGCCTACGCACAGCACGCATATATCACCTCTGTCAGGCGTTTCAGAAACAATGACGCCATACAACATCGGTCCCTTATACTACAGGTTGTTCGAGATGGGATGCCGGACTTCAAGCTTCGGATCGACCGTTTCCGGGACCGTACTCTCTCATTTCTTCAATTCTGTCTTCTTCGTCGTGGACGGTCTGATGCATTGGATACAGTGGGTACTTGGTTCTTCATGACATTGTTCACGCCACTTAAAATCTCTTTTTTTTTTCTTTTTCCCCTCATAGATAACCGTGTCCGAGAATTTGCAGTTACTCTACGATGCAAGGTCAAGCGAAGAAGCGGTACTGGACCTACCTCAACCAATCCCGCTCCTTGAATTCGGAAGTATCCTCGAGGTCGTACTGGTTAGATCCCATTCCTACGATGTGTTCGCGGTAAGCACGCAATTTGTTCTCACAACCAATGTAGACTGAAGACCTGGAAAAAGGAAAACTGCTGGTTCGTCGTTTCGACTCTTGAAGAGGCATTTGTGAACGTGTTTAGTGCTTGCTATGTAAAAGGTAAAGCGAGTCATTCACGTCTTGCTAGACGAAGACGTACCGGAATATGGAACGAGCTTGGTCTTCGAGGATCCAAATAAAAAAAGCCAGTTAGAGTGAAGATTCGATGAAAAGATCCTGATTCGTGTGTAACACGCACCGTTACTTGGGGCAATAGGTCTTTCAGGTTGCGATTTCTCCGTTCTTCATCCCAAAGTACATAAACCCCCATGCAGAGTTTCCCCCCCCCCCCATCCATCATCCCTCCCCCTTTCAAAAAGAAATAGAAAAACGAAATAAGAAAAGCCGACATTCTAGACGTATACATACTATTTGGCCTGGTCTCGTTCTATTTTTCCGTTTGAAGTGCATGATGAACGTGTGTTTGTTTTTCTTTGCGCCTACTGTAAGTTTACGACCTCGCAATTCTTGTTGCTTGCTACTCCATGGCGGGTCCTGGCCCCACACTGTGCAAAGGGTTGGGTTGGGTTGGGTTCCCATTATGACCATATGATAATATATTTCGGCTCACTCCGCTACAATGTAACTTACGGGCTATGTCGTTCGGGGAACGCCGCCTGAAGCGGCAGATCCCGCTACTCTTACCTCGCATGCATGTTCACTCTCAACGTTGCTGTTGGCTGAGACGATGCCCTGAGATTCGCTCTCGCTCTGTAAACACACCGCATACTCTGATTTCAGGACCACCCATGCGGCGAGCGGAATAGAACTGTGTGGGGCAGAGAAAGGACCCTGGGTTTGGGGGTCATACAGGACCCTGAGCTTAGGAGGACAATTGAGTCTGGGAGTAGGGGGAATATGCAAACGGAGGCTCAACTGCAACTCGAGTACACCACCGATATGCATTGACGAGAGCTGATGAGGGGCGGATCAAATAATGTTACCGGCGGCTAGATCTGGAACAATAAGGTCCATAAACTTTCTAGTTCTACTTCGTGTTACACAATAAAAGTTGTAATCAGCCTAATGTCTCTGCTGGAGGATCCAACGTAAACCGTATACGTTCCGGGAGGGACGGTTCTGGATTGGGAAGTAACACTCCAGACACTTGGCCATTGACCATCAGCCTCAGCTAAAATGACTATGTTCCCGCCACTCACCTCAATTCATTAAATCCCAAGGGAAAAGTAGCCGTTTCCTGAGCTCCAACATCCAATGGAACGCTCTCAAATCCTCGCAGCAGTTTAGGAGGCTCCTGAGCCGATGCAGGGAAACCAAGGTAAAGCTGTACGATCTCGGTTCCAGCCCGGGTGCCCGTATTCTGGACAATCGCTGAAACTGTCCTTGTGGAGCCAGATCCGGATACTTGAAGGGATGAATATCTTGTTGTGAATCCATACGACAGACCGAAGCCAAACTCGAATCGGGGAGTAATGTCATGAGCATCAAAGTACATGTAGTCCGTGAAGAGGCCCTCGGTGTACGTGATGTCGGGCTCAAGGCTAAACTCGAACTCAACCGTGTCTGCGATCATTCTAGGTCTGAGCTTATGCACGCGAGCAACGAACGACAAGATCTACTTACGAACGTTGTAATCCCCTGCCGACTTTGCAATGGTGTATGGTAGTCGCCCTGATGGGTTAACAGTCCCAAAGAGGACATCTACTATGGACGGGCCTGACTGCTCTCCGGGAAGTCCGGCCATGATGACACCCTTGACTGAAGAAAGTCGCGAATAGTTGTTATCAGGAGATGTAGGGGCTGGATCAACTCACCATTTGCGTTGTTTATCCAGGACTCGACAACTGTAGGCCCCACAAGATGCATGACGACGATCTCATTTCACACCGACTAATCAACACGGAAAGGGGGGGCGATCGACATGAAGCTCACTGTATTCTTGTTGACTTTCGTGACTGCGTTGATCTCGAAATGCAGGTGAGTTTTGCATGTAGAGGATGGGGAAGGTCGACTTACTAAAGCCTCCCCAGAATGCCTAGTACCCGAAGAGATCAGTCATATGGCCGCCAATGACAGAGACAAGTCGTACCAGAGATTGAGATTTGGTCGGTCGCCCTGGATGGATATTACTTCGATATCAAGTTGGGGACGAGAATAACTTACAGTGCTACCACTTTCCAAGTCTACCGGAACTACGTTGTATTCCCCGGAATCCCTGTGGAATCCAAATCTATGGAACACATCCCAAACCAACATAGAGAAGCATACGCGTTAACGAAAACCAAAGCGACGTCTGCGCCAGTTGCGGCAGCTGCTGCTTTAGATTGATCATCGGACGGAGACGTGACAAGAGTAGTTGTTGTCCCTGCAACAGCGCTGTTCATGGCGTTAAGCGGAGTCACAAGGTATTCTAGCGTGGTAGTCCCAGATCCCCATCTAAGCAAAATTGTGTCAAAAAATGAACAAATAATTCCTGGAATGTAGCATACATACCCTATGGAGAGCGTCCCGTTGTCACAGGCATTCAAAAGGCAACCTTTATTCGGGGCTCCAATATCACTGCCAATGAGAGCAATCTTCCTGGCTGGGCCGCTTGTTGAAGGTGCGGCCAGAGGGAGAAAGTTGTCTACGTTTTTCAGGAGGACAGCGGAAGCGTCTGCAATTGTTTTGATGAGAGAAGTATGTGCGTTACTGCGGGCATTGACATGATCATTGTTGCTGGAAGACTGGACGTTGAAGTTGGTAGGCGGGTATCCCTGGAACAGCTCCGCATCAGCTTCTGCAGAGGTGTACGGCCGCTAGTGGAGCTACCTGGTCTTGACCGAGACGGTAATAGGCCGTAAGAACCCGGATTACCATCGTGTCCAATGTCTGGGATGTATCGGAGGACGTTAGTTGCAACGAGCAGTAACGCGCAATGTTACCCACAGAAACAGAGACGCTTCCTTGGGCAACTTCGTGTTCAAGATCAGAGTACACGCCGCCACCTGAACGAGATAGTCATATGAGGATTCTGGGCATCCAATACGATAAACTAGTTCACCGATCAGGATCCAGCCTCCTGGCATTCTTCAAACAACAGGGGTTCAAGAAAGACGACTTTGAAGGCAGAGAAAGGACACATACTCAACGTCAAGACCTGAATTTGCATTGTCTGCTGCTGATCCGTGAGTGGCACCCCAATCGGAAACTACAAAACCTTCGAATCCAATCGTCTTCTTGAGCAGTCCCGTTTCCCCTATGAGCGCAGGGTTCTGACAAGCATACGTGTCATTGACCCGGTTGTAACTGCACATGACGCAAGTGACGTTTGCATCAACGGCTCGCCAAAACGGAGTCACATATCTCTCGATGAGGGTTCTTTGATCGGCATTGCTGGATTCAACAAAGCGATAGGTTTCTTGGTTATTCAAAATGAGGTGCTTAGCGCAGGCCTGAACGCCAATTGATTGAACACCAATTATCGTCGCATATACACTTTCCCCGGTGAGGTAAGTATCGGCGCCAAACGATTCCCATAGACGACCAGCTTCGGGAGCACGCATAACATCCATTGACGGGCCAAGGTATACATGAGCGCCCTTCGTACGAAATTCCTCGGCTATTGCGACGCCTCTTTGTCGAATAAGGTCTCGGTTAAAGGTAGCAGCAGCGTTGATGCCAGCTGGGAATCCTGACACAAGATCGACGGCTCGGACGCCCGCTGGACCATCTTGGAGGCAGATAGAAGGGATGTTCAGACGAGCAACAGCATTAAGGTTCCCCACGCATCGGCCACCTGGTGAGCTCGATCATGAACAGAGCAGTAAAGCACAAGATGAACGAGGACGGGCCGTACCGAATTGTCCCATTCCACGAACAAGTCCTACCTACATAACGGGCCGCCCACCAGCGACAACCGTTCAATTAAGATGCGGTGGGTCATGAGGGGCTCGAACTGCACTACTCACTTTTTCACTGAGAGTCAAGTTGGACACGACATCCAGTGCGATACTCCTAGCAGCCTCCCAAGAGCCTGACAATGGTGATTCGATGGGTCTGGAAATACCACAGGAGTATGGATAACACTAACGTGTCTGGAATCCATCGGAAGCGCCGACCGCAAATATGAGATACGCGAAGAGTGATCTGACCATAAACATGGCACTGGAATTCGTTGACCTCGAGTAGAGGTTTCGGGGGTTCTACAAAGCAAACGACGGGGAGGGGGCGATGTAAAATTCCATAGGCATAAACGCGCCCGCTGATTGGCATCCGGAGTACATATTGAACTACTGTATCCATTGATCCGGAATAATATTGTTATACGGAGTCATGGTTCCATGCATCAGACTTAGGGGTTAAACATTTGATTCTGGAATTCTACATATTACAACTGGACAGATCAGATGGCAGCGCCAACGAATTCACGCCAGGACTTGACTTCACTGGGGATTCGTCCTTCTGTGTATCGTCGAAGACCTCCTTGAGGTATTTTCAGCGCCAAGCTCTCAACGAACAATTGGGCACATTTTGGGTTGTTTAGGAGAGGGAAGCCAAAGTCCACAGCATTTCTAGTTTTGGTTGAGGTTGAATGAGCCCCTGATCCCAAAGAATCATGGTTCACAAATCCGCTTACCTGCGGGCAACATAGTCCTCATCAACAGCATTCTCGCCGCGCGCCTTTGCCAGATTGAATACCAATTGGATGTCGTGCTCTTCGAACACTTCGCGCAGCTTTCTCTTGTCCTTAGTAGGGAAGAAAATCTTCTCGCAGTGGACGTGTGGCAATGAGTTCAAGTAGTCTTGCACTACACTGCTTGAGCAGTAGAGCTTGAATCCGAGGTTAACAAGACCTTCGGCGACAGTAGCGACTTCGGGCGTCGCGATATCACCCCCTAAGAGAACACCTGATCCAGCCCGGGGAGCACGGAACCCTGTTGTACTTTGCAATGCAGCCCAGTACGCCTCATGAATGTTACTGCCGAAACTGGCAACCTCGCCAGTGCTAGCCATTTCTGCCGCAAATCAGAGAGAATCAGCAAATGATGCAATATGAAACTAGACCACTCTCACCGACACCGAGAAATGGATCCGCGCCCGGTAACCGAGTCCAAGAGAACTGTGCGACTTTGATAGCGAAATAATCACGTTTCTGCGCCATGAGATCGATAGGCTCCGGGACGTTCTCCCCTGTAATGGCAGCCGCAGCAGTATCAATGAAATTGTGTCCCAGCACCTTTGAAACGAAGGGGAATGAGCGAGACGCTCGCAAGTTGCACTCGATAACCTTCAAGATGGGTTCCGAGCCATCTCCGAAGTCCTTTCGGATTATCTGCATATTGAAGGGGCCAGAAATCTCAAAAGCTTGAGCCACCTCGCCAGCAATCTCTTTCAAACGCGCCATGTCCGATTCGCCGAGTGAGAAAGGCGGGAGAACAAGAGTAGCATCACCAGAGTGGACACCGGCGTTCTCAACGTGCTCCGAAATGGCATGTACAAGGAGTTGTCCATTGTAAGCGACAGCGTCGACATCGATTTCCTGTGCTCCATCAATGAACTTGGTGATAACAACTGGATGAAGGGGAGAGACGGAAGCCGCGGCGGAGAGGTTGTACTCCAAGGCTGACTCCTCGTGCACGACGTTCATAGCGGCACCAGAAAGCACGTAGGAAGGACGGATAAGGACAGGATAGCTAGAATAGATAGGTGAGTGAGTTACAAGGAGAGTGAATCATGAACTTACCCAACTTTCTCAGCAAACTTCTTCGCATCTTCCAAGCTGGTGACTTCAGTCCACTCGGGCTGATCAACATTGATACTATCGAGGACAGCAGAGAATTTGTGGCGATCTTCGGCAGTATCGATCTTCTCAGGGTCAGTTCCAAGCACGTTAATACCGCTCTGCTTCAATCTAAGAGCAATATTCTGAGGCAACTGGCCTGAATGGTATGGAACAATGAATACGGTAATAGGAGATTCAAGGAAGGATTCAACACACCTCCCACGCTGACGATAGCACCACTGGCTTGTTCAAGCTCGTAAATATCCATGACTCGTTCCCAGCCAAGCTCCTCGAAGTACAAACGATCAGCTTCATCGAAATCAGTCGAAACCGTCTCGGGGTTGTAGTTGACCATGATCGTGTGCTTTCCCATATCCCTTAACTTGCGGGTGCAAGTGACGGCACACCAATCAAATTCGACGCTACTACCGATACGATAAACACCTGAACCCAAGATCATCGTACCATGTTCATCAAATTTGACATCATGCTCGGAGGCGTTATAAGTAGTGTATAGGTAGTTTGTGTGCGCAGGGTATTCCGCCGCCAGGGTATCGATCCGCTTGACGAAAGGGACAACACCAAGAATCTTACGGCGAGCACGGGCCGCATCTTCGGTGGTACCTGTCAAATCGGCAATCTGTTGATCGGAGAAACCCATCTGCTTGGCGCGCCTCATGAGATCATGGTCAATCTCATCGACAGAGCCGGCTGACTTTACAGCAAGGCTGGTCTGGACAATGTTATCGATTTTGTAGAGGAACCACTAGGATCGCAACATTAGTGGCGGACATTCAGCTTGCATACAAATACCTACTTTGTCGATCTTAGTGAGGTCATGAATCTTGTCAACAGTGTATTGCTTATCGAACATGGCGTGAGCAATGGCGAAAAGGCGAGTATCAGTTGGGACTCGGAGTGCGGTGTCCAAGTCTTCGGGTTTGGAGTAAGGCTCAAATCCAGTGTAACGGGGATCAATCTGACGAATAGCCTTCTGCAAACTCTCCTCGAAAGTGCGTCCAATGGCCATGACTTCCCCTACAGACTTCATCGCAGAACCGACCTGGCGGTTGACCTGACCAGAAAACTTGGCCAAATCCCACTTGGGGATTTTGGTCACAATATAATCAAGAGAAGGTTCGAAGCAAGCAGTTGTGGACTTAGTAACGGCATTCGGTAGCTCAGGCAGTGTCCAGCCCAAGGCCAGCTTAGCTGCAGTATACGCCAGAGGATAGCCAGTCGCCTTAGAAGCCAAAGCACTGGGGATGACGTCAGCGAAAGTGGTTTTGCTGGGTTGAGATAAGTACCTTGATCGACTGAGACGAGCATTGACCTCGATTACACGATACTCCTTGGATGCAGGGTTCAATGCATACTGGATATTACATTCACCTACAACTCCAAGATGGCGAATGACCTGAATGGCCGCAGTCCGAAGCATATGGTATTCATCATCGGGGAGAGTCTGAGATGGTGCAACAACGATAGAATCCCCGGTGTGCGTGCCTAGAGGGTCAAAGTTTTCCATATTGCAGCAAATGATGGTATTCTGGCGGAGAATGAGTCAACTAGCCCAACGCAGAATGACGTCACTGACATCGGCAGCATCCCGAACCACCTCGTACTCTAATTCTTTCCAGCCCTTCATGCTCTTCTCAATGAGTACCTGAGGGCTAAGACTGAGGCCTTTTGCTGCCAAATCGCGCAACTCCTCCGGGTTATTGGCAAAACCAGAGCCTAGACCCCCAAGGGTGAAAGCTGATCGCTGAATCACGGGATAACCAATCTCCTCCGCGGCCTTGAGCGCCGCATTGACCGAAGAAACTGCGGTAGACTGAGCAACCGGAATGCCGATCTCTGACGATTACGCGATAAAACACTGGTAGGCACAAGGTGCGACAGAGAACACGTACGATTCAGGGCCTGCACGAACATGTCGCGGTCCTCACTAACTTCCAACGTGCGGATGGGAGTCCCCAAAACCCTAATGCCCAATCGATCAAAAACACCCATTTTGTCCAGGGCAATACCAACGTTGAGAGCACTCTGCCCCCCAAAGGTCAAGAGGACTCCGTCTGGTCTCTCTTTTTCGAGCACATATGCAACATAATCAGTGGTGATGGGCAAGAAATAAACCTCGGACGCAAGTTGATGTGATGTTTGCCAGGTAGCGATGTTAGGATTCACGAGAACGGCTTCGATACCTTCCTCGCGAAGTGCCTTCATGGCCTGCGAACCAGAATAATCGAACTCTCCGGCTTGGCCTATACTAAGACCGCCACTGCCAACCACGACAACCTTCCTGACGTCGGGCCGAGGCAACTTTGGCAACACGCGTGCAGAAATTTTGCGTGCAAGCTCCGAGGGAGAGCTGAGTACGTGCTCACTCTTGGCTTCTTCCGACTGTGCGTAGTCACCCACAGCGGGTGCAGCGACGGCTTTTCGGACACGAGTTGGAACGGGGTACCATGCAGTGCGAGTGGCATGAAAAGAACGGACATGAGGCACCCTTAACGGTACCACAGTGCGAGAGATAGATGAAAAGAACGATGGGGAGGAGAATGCCCCCATTTTCAAGGACTCTTAATCGAACAAGAGCCTAGGGCTTGGTGGAGCGAGGAGTAAACGTGATCAGAAAGGTAGCTGACGTCGAAAAGTGGTTCTGAATGTCAGAGAAAGTTTTTCTGCGCTCTACAACGTTGTACTCAACTCGTCCCTGGTTTCGTCTGTGAACGGTGGCATGCGCCTTGAAGCAGGAGAAAAATTGCGCGAAGTTGTCGGATGCAAAACCCCATGAGCGAAAAATTATCAACTGACCAATTCAATATGCAAGCGGAACCTTGATCACGCAACTTCAATCAATCTGGGATTTATGATAATTCGGCACCACAAGGTGGCGAATCCAGGTCACTAGCCCGCTGCAAAAAAGGGCCCAATGTCGCCATATGGGACCGGTACCTCCAAATGGTCAGAGGGGACGTTAAATCCTACTTCCTATCAAAGCTCGAAAGGCAACATTACAGTCCATCACTTAAATATTACAAACTGCCCCGCCTCCTTAGTTGAATATCTTCATGGTGTGTTCGAAACAGAGCTAGAGATGGGTAACACGTACCCCCAGGTTCATAACCACGCGCTTCGTTTTGACGATCAAGAGAACGATGGCTGAATGACTTGCAGGAAGGTCCGATAGGCGTCGCCGGCTTCACCTCTTATTTCTTCCAAGCCGATGTCTTCATCGGCATTGCATATCTTCCAAATTCAACCAATGGAGTAATACCCACAGACCTGGAGCAAGCTCGATCCGGCCGGGAATGGAAAGATTGCGTGGCTGGAGCTTACTATGTATTCTCGTTACAGACTCGCCGGGTCCCGTACTGACAGATTCCTCACACAGGTGAAACCAAACTATCCAGGTCGCTCCTCACATGTAAGAATGGAATACATAGGGCCATCTTGTTGCACGACCAATCATTCCGTATCCTCTAGATTTGTAACGCAGGCTTCATAGTTCCGCATGCAACCCGGGGGGAGGGTATGGTAGTCTCCTAGCGCAGTCCTTCCTTCACTACGCTCCCCTGTTGGGGTATCGTGGCTCCGTGTTCAATCTCGTATACAAAAATAATCTTGCTTCCCTCGCTATTTGGGACCGGCTCGGTTTTCAGCGGGCAGGCTTGATTCCCGGTGCTGGGAGGCTTAAGAAGCCTGATGGATCTGGAGAGGAATATGTCGATGCCATTATCTTCTACAAGAGCTTTGTCCAGGCATCTGCCCCCCTAAATTTTGAATGAATGCTACCCTGTGTACGCAGGAAATTTTCTTTCCTTTACATCTTGCCTGGCATGTCAGCAATTCTCGATCAAAGTAAAAAGGCGATCTGGAAATCATTTGCTCATTCTTGCGCTTTTCGTGCAATATTCGTCGAATCGTACCGCCGATCTCAACTCCTCTGTGCCTTAGGCCAAGCGCATGCATGTCCAAACTCTCACAATCAACACATGTCGTGCTTCCATTCTCACAGACCCTCTACTCCCAACGGCCGAAATCACTTGCTTCTGTCCTAAGTGACCGGGACGAATTTTATTCCGATTGTCAACAACATTAAATCCTTGAAATTAGGGACCCTAGGGGTGTGCCAGCTCCCAAGGCTCGAAGGTCATGGTCATACCGGATAAAAGACCTGGCGAGCCTACTCCGGCTAAGGCGGCGCGCACGTTCGCTGTGTACATTCACAACCAGGACGAAATAGCTGATGCCGAACCACACGAGAACGCCACAAATGTCCCCACCAGTATGATTGCAGAAATGCAAGCCCCTTGCAGCGCAGCCGCGGAGGCATTATGATCCTTCCTGCCGCAGAGTATCAATAAATCCCAGAAACCTTCGACAAGATGTGTCCGTTATGCTGAGGCTCAAAATTTAAGCTCAACGGCACCTGCAGCAAGAGTTCCGCAACAAATTCGAAGGGGATTAAGGGTCTCGGTCTAGCGTTGCATCATCAGCAAAGATGAGCCTTGACCCCATTGAATTTGGCAATAAGAAACTGATTGACCACCCACATCCAACAACGCTAGGAGAGTAGCGAAGTTGAGTGGTATCTCAACGGATGAGTACTGTCGGGGTGCCTGCTATCTGCCACTGAGTGATGTGATTCGTGTAGAATGGTGCTTCGAATGATGACTTTGTTTCTGTTAGCTCGAGGCGATAAATCGCCCAACTACATAACAACGATCTGCTCTGTTGGAACCTGGTCTGGATTTGGGTAACACCGGTCTGTGTTTGGCGCACCCCAGTACTTCATATCCCGTACCATACGCACGGACGTTTGTTTCACAGTATGCCAGCGCCTCTCAGCTGCCACGCCGAATGGCACTTTGAAGAGAGGACACCTTGTCATTAACATAAGGAATTCTAGATCAACGAGAACCTTCCTCCAAGCAATCGGAGATGCGCGCCTCGTTGATAAGGGTGATATGATACCCACGATGAATCCTCCGGATGGGTCGAGAAGAGCAACGAATGGCGTACTCTTGAGTGCTTTTCAGTGAGAAAGTATGAGGCGAAACACATTTCAGGGCTCTCAGCTCGTGCCAGGGTGTCAATCTCGAAAATTAGAACCAACGCCCAAGCTTTTGGCCAAAATATGCGCATCTCCGAGCTGAAGGGTGCCATGAACGAACCCACTCCTCCCGACCACCCGTGAAATCGTTCAGGGCCTGGCTAGCAGGTACCGCGCCCAACGGGACAAGCAACACATATCTGCATCGATTTCAGCCAAATGCAATGTACATTCACTGCTGAAACGGCAAACAGAAAGGCAAGTGCTTGCTATTGCTTCACCAGGAAGACGTTTTGACACCAGATATTGGAGGCTGATGGATCTGGAGAGGAACATGTCAATGCGCGCGGTTAAGCTTTATCCCGGCTTCTGCTCCCCTAAATCCCGAATGGACACTACCCTGTGTGTCCACAGACCAGTGTGGCAACGACCAATTTCTTTTTTCCCTTACATCTTGCCTGACACATGTCAGTGACTCTCGATCAAGCCAAAAAGGTGATCTGGAAATAGATTGCTTATGCCACTGCAAAACATGATGTCGAATCGTGCTGCCGGCTTCAAGGCATCTGTCTCTGTTCAATGACCGGGACAGCAATTGCTCACTGTGAATGCTAGGGGCGCCGGGCGTACCAACTCCCAAGGCTCGAAGGGGGAACTGAGGCGGTTGCGCACATTTGGAACATATACAAGTGGGACGAAATGGCCGATGCCAAACCACCGGAATATGCTTCTCTTTCAGCCTATCGTCTTTTACCTTGTCAGCCGAGAAGCCCAGCAGGCGACGATGATGGAATCCAGAACGGCCATTGATTTTATCAACGTCCACAAGTAACACTATTAAAGTAATTGCCAAGTATCTGTTGATGCGATGCCAACGCATAGCGAAAATAACATTATCTTGACTTCATGTTGGTACGCTTCGGTGGATGAGTGAGAGCACACGATGACCATCGTTTGCCTCAGAAAGAAGCAACTGACACCCTGATCAGGAAACGAGCTTTTATGGTAACACCCACACCGCCCACAACCGGGGATCGGTCGTGGCCAGCGAAGCAATGGGCGCTCTGGTATCCATGGCCTGTGCCCTCGTACGTACGATCTCATGATCAGAACGGGCTCCGCTCGGACAATGCACCGCTTCGTGTGACCCAAAAATACTATCTACCAGTTGGCTACCTCACTCCTGATACCCTCGACTTTTGGAGAGGGTAAGGTGTTTGTCGCCGGGCCCGTTCATTCCTTGACCGACGTCACCTCTCTCAGTTGCCACCAGGGGAATCTTCCCCAGCACTGGGCTCCACGGATCAAGAGAAGGGCAATGCATCCTTACTGGCGTGAACTGGATCGAGGGCAGGCACACACCGGCGAGTTAATAGATGAAAAGGATTTCAGAAGAGATTACTGGAGTTCAGCCATCGGCGAGGCAAAACAAAATTGCGCGTGAAGGTCGTCAACACATTGACGACCATCTCGGATATTTGGAACAGAAAAAAAAAAGACGCACTTCGTCCTGTTCTCAACTACAACACCGACAACTTGGAAACTCCATATCCCCCGCAACAATAGAAAGGATAAGCACGAACATGTCTCCATTCACGGTCTCCCGACGATCAGCAGGCACGTCGCGCAAAGAGCTACGTCCAATATCCCGGGAGCTATGATATTGGGAAAGAAACAAATACGGTGGACTTGTTGACGGAGATACACCCTGACACGAAGTCCGTTGTCAAACAAACCTCCAGTCGAGGATTTTCCAGGGCAGAATGCAGAAATCTGGCTGATAAGGACTCGAAGGCCTGAATGCGAAAGACTAGAAATCAACTAGGAACTAAGAGGGGCCCCCTCCACCCCAAACCTACAGACAGATCTGTCTGTCTAGTGCAAGCTACGTAGGTTACACAAAAAAATCAACTAGGACCAGGTATGAAGGAGTTGAATATGGCCAACTCAGAGATGAACCAACACCAATGTAGCACCGTATCGGTGCAGAGGAAAGCTGCGCGATTTCATTTCGCTAGGGATTTGCTGTAAACAACTTTACACCATCATCCCACTAGATAAGATAGACAGCAGGCTCATAGCCTACTAAGGAACATCGAGCAAATGGTGCTGGAAAGGAGGCAGGAGGCACCTTATCATGTCGAATGAATATTTCAGCAAGCTGGTAAGCCTCATGACCCCCTAAATGAAATCCAGCGTAATGCCCCCTCGCTGATTAAGGACCCGGTGGAGCATGGAAACCAGACAGATATTAAAACACGCGGCGCCCCCAACGTGTGCACCTGCACGGACCGTCTCATAGCCGACGGGAACATACAAGACCGAAGGATTTCTTTTAGGGTTCTGACTTCAAATAGCCCGCATTAATTCTGGGGTCTCCTGACCAATGAGGCGGCTGCGATGGCAGGTCCAGACCAGACCATGCCCGTGCACCCGAACGAAGGAATGTTCCGATCAATTGTGGCATGTGACGTTATCAGAGAAGTTGACACGAGAACCTTCCCCAAAAAATCGTCGCTTACTTAGTGCTTGATGCATGACTTCCCAATCAGCTCTTCAGGGAACCGGTCACATTGCACCGTCAAGCCGCGGAAACCCCGTTCGTTCTCATGAAGGATACAAGCTTCCTACCTTGTACTAAATGCTCCCTCTGGGGGGGGGCAAGTCCCATGAACGTGCCACAACTGTACTGCCTGCTTGCTTTGCCCTATCTGACTTGATCTCTCGAGTTTTCGCACATGTTGCAGCAACTTGATTGGGCTCCTTCCAGAACAAATGTGCGCAAAGGGGGGCATTCTGCTTTGGGTCCCCGCCCCTATTTCTTTCACTCCGAGATCGCCCTGTGATACACGATCCCTCGACGAGATTCCTTCATCTCGACGCGGAAGACACATTGTGTGTGTGATGTTTGTATGGTTATACAGTTTCTTGATATTTGCCCGCATAGAAGCCCGTCTTTTCCCCACATAGTGGTATTGTCAACCTTCCAGACGCTGGAACTTCCCGGGTTTATATCCGCACGCCTTTTGATCTTTTTGAACGCACCCTGCCGTCAATCTCGTCTTACCTACTCCCGATTTTCCCATGTGAACGCTTTATTGAAGGCTACCAAGCTCTACGTCCACAAGGGGCATCTTCAAATTCATCATCACCATCCTCTTTCGATCTCAGTCAATGAGGGAATATGGCCATTTCGTAAGGAAAGGGGGAGGAACTAGTCTAAAGGGACTATGTGCTTGCAAATTCTTATTTGCGGGAAATAGTATGCGGTCGTCATTGACTCCCAGAGTGAGTGTCCCCACGATTTAGATGGAAGACCGTAGTCCAGGGGTGCCTGGGTGCTAAGTGAGACGGCGGCCATGACGAAGGGAGGCAAAAACGGCAAGGAGTTTAGAAGCCGAATAGCTTGCTTGCTCGCCCTTCGGGTGTCTCTCCTCACGTTTGCCAAGTGACCTCGATGTCCATGGGAGTTTTGGGACCAAACAATCCATGGAGCCATGTTCCCCTAGACTTTGAGTAAAGAGAATGGCTCAAGATTCCGGATGCATTGGGGCTTTTGTTCGCCTGGGAGTTTCTTCACGTTCGACTGCGGATGACGACATAAGAGGACATATATTTATTTAGGTTGAACCGAGCACAGCATGACCAAACTGGAACATTCCAGGCCATTGTGCGTTACAATGGCCAGTGCTGTTGACAGTGGTAACGCATTGATCATCACAGAACTCATAACCGCCATGGATGGAAGGGGGTCTTCCGGAGATTGACTAGGAAGCGATCTTCAAAAGCGATTCTTTGGATGTAGATGCGTCGATGTGCGTCGATCAGGGAAAAACGCCGCAAACAAAAACAAAGCAAATCGATGCTCCCACTTGCAACAAAGGGATATAGCATGCGAGTTTCGTGCCAAAACTCGACGCTCCCTGCTGAACACCGGAAACATTTGATGTGCGCCATAATGGATGGGAAGACGTTAACAAACCGCTTGGGTCTTATTACTTTCCCCGGATAAAACTATGCTCGCCGACGACTGAGAGGTTTCTGACAACTTGGTGATTTTTTGTCGTAGGAGACCGTACGGGTGAACAGAACAAAAGAGTGGGGGGGGCCTAATTATGTTCAAGGCTGAGAGATGATACACACGGGGAAATTTTTTTGGATAGGGTGGCCGGCCTCTCCATGTCAAACGTGCCACTGGCTTCGATCCCCCATAAGGGTGCAGAATATTACATGGCAGGTTGTAATGAATCATTATCCCAGTCAAAACAGGGTATGATGGAGTTGGGGAGGAAAAAGAAGGATACATAGGAGTAAAGGACAAGACGTAAACGCGTCGTAGTCCAGCTCAACCTACACCGAAGCTGGATAGATGAAGCGGCGATGCCATCAGTGGAGCTATTCGACCAAACGCATATCCCCTGCTAAGATATGGCCAATATGTCTCGAAGATTTTGGCTTGAAAGCTGTGTACCCACTCTTTAGCTACCTGGATTGTGTTTCTTTCCGCGCGTGCGCGCGAGTGGAGTGGGTGAACGTGCGAGGCCCAACGTTTGAAGCTGAACGAAGCGACATATTACCGTTACGTACATATGTTGCGCTGTTTTTGTTTTTGTTTTTTTGTTTTCGACCAACAAATCTTGTTTCTCTAAGATGTGTATCAGCAGCAATGATGTCTCCACTCCGAACTTGATTACATATATGCACATGGAGGGCGGAATGGGGAAGTGTTTGTGAAACAGATGACGCCACGTTTTCGCGATCCGCGGATGAGGGACCTTCAGCGCATGTAACTGACGCCACTAGATGATCGCGATGAGATTGCTGTGTAGGAACGAAGCTAAGTGGACACGATCAGCTAGTACCGGGGTAGATGTCTCGCAATGACAGAACGAACGGCGTAGCCAGTGACAGCAGGTGGTCAGGCAAGATGTACTGATTGGTTCCAATGAACATATCATTTCGGAGCGTCACGGATTACTACGCTAGGCTGTGTATACAGACGACTTTTACAATTCTGGAACAGAAGGCGAGAGTAAGTTAAATAGACACGAGAAACCGTTCCATTCAATCATGTTGATACGCAGATGTTTTGAGGTCGCCCGGCTTGCACAATACATAATTGCCAGCAGAGTAGTAGGCTCTAGGACACGCTGCTGGAAACGCATTTTGGATGGAACGTCCCGTGTTCGGGACCCGAAAGTCCCGCAGAATCCCATGGAATGATACGATCATCCGGCCTGTACACTCTCTTTGAGAGGCCAATTATACATGCACCATCGAGGCACCAAAGGAAAAATGGAGATCGGCCAGTACGAGAGAAGACAGGAGCTGGTTCATTCAGATGAATTGACGAAAATCGGGAGACAAGTTCACGATGCGTTCACACCATCGTGTCACCAGCGTATGACCAAGACGATCCGAAACTGGAAGTCTCTAGCCATCATTATCACACGGCCACCAGCGCTACCAGGAGAGTGGAAGGTGGCTCCTCCAGTGCAAGCACGGTGATCGGCCACCAAAGGGCCGACCATAACAGATACAGATGAGTTGGATCATTAGTTTGAGAAGGTTTGTTCGTTGAAAAGAACTCTTCAACAAAGAGGGGCCAACTGACCGAGCGCGATAACAGGAATGGAGCGATTGCAGTGTAAAGGCAAGCCTTGTTCATGATCGAAACGAGCCCTTCGAAATGCGACCAAACAATTCATTTCGTATATAGAGGGAAGGTGACGAGCGATGATTAAGGGTGGCTTGTTGTTTAGTCATCGATCAGCCTCCTCCTCCCCGCGGGTCGGATCATTATGTCAAGGGTGATGAAGATCCATGAAAAAAAGGCGTTAGAGCTCTCCAATCCTATAATCATGCACAGGTTAGCCGCAAATGTCAAGTCCCCAACAAAACCTCCACAAAAAGGAAGATCAAGAGGAAGGAATTCAAAGTCCCCCTGTGATCTCCATTCTTGTACCTTACAAATCAGTGGGAAGCGCAACTTCAGCACTTGTACTTGTACGGAACCTGCCAGTGGCGAATCGCCGCCTAACATCCCCAAAGAGATGTATCGCAAACACAAAGGATATCTATATCGATACCGAACGCAGTTCCACTTAGGCCATTCATTGACCATAGCATATATGATGTACAGTATACACACTGGTCGTAACCCTGTGGGAATTAAATTGCTGATCAACGAACATGACAAATGAATGGAATGGCACATACAAGCGCGCTTGTCGCGATCATTCACCACCGTTGACAAGGACTTGGGGGACACACACACACAGACATAGCAAGGTTGTTAGAGCCTCTCTGACTTTGTAACAATATATAGATGAAGCTGTACTTGAAGCTTGAAACCGATCAGCGATGAAAAAAAAACCCGCGGCGCTTTCAAAATGGAATTGCACACAAAACTGTTAATACCACTTGGCAAGAGATCGTAGCAACTACCGCTCACTGTAAAAAAAAAACAAGGACTCATTTGTCAAACTGTTCACCCATAAGAAGAAAAAAAAATATGAAACGGAGAACGCCGCGCGCAGATTTGAATTTTGAACGGCCACAAGAGTCCCACGAACTCCTAGCTCTTAGCGCCCGAGTCATTTTGAGGACAAACACAACCTTTTTTCAAATTGTTCAAATTTGCCAAACTCCTTATCTTCTTTTACCTCAAGTCAACAGGAACGAGGGGGCCCGCTGAGAAAGGGACGAGTCCAACCCCCTCCCCCTACCCCCCGAATGTTGACTATTATGAAGGCGTTGGCTTGGACCTCGCTTGCGTCCTAAAGAAGAAGTAATATCAAAGTTAAGTTCCCACGAACTGTGGGGTAACGCCCAGCTGAGTATTCAGTTGGGACAGTATAACTGTGACTGTGTCAACATATATCTAGCGCCCATAAGTGACGACCTTATATAGCGGATGACCGCATAGTCCTCACACTAATCTGCGAGCGGTAATGGCAATGGCTGTTAATTCGTCCCGTCCGTCTCCAAAATACATCCAGCGCTCCAGATTATGCACCGCCCCGCCCCGCCCTCCCCCTTCCGGTCCTTCTCTCGGGAGCGAGCGCTCGCAATCTAACGGGATCACCAAGCCCTAGACACACATATTGCCGCTCCTCAGCTTGATTGCAGCCTCAGAAGCATTCATCTCAACAACGCGATGTCCCCGGGCGGCTTTGAAATTCAATTAATATGCGCCACCTTCTCTTACATACATGTACCAACCATGTACATTGTAGGTAAAAGGGGGGGCAGTACTACTCGAACTGCAGTTGGTCTCTGCCAACCGTAAGCTGCAATCTAGCGTAACCGAACACGCCCCCACCCCCTTAACACATTGCACCGACTCATCAGAACAATAGGAGTTCTTTTTTTTTTTATCAGATAACACAAAAGATCGCACAGCAATTATTTCGTCATTGCTGATGTTCGTTGCCATCTGAGTTTTTTTTCTTTCCTTTGGAGAAACTTTTGATCGTCATCAGACGTATGACTCGATGCATACATACACGGGGAAACTAGGGGGTGAGTGAAACCTAGCCAGCAAAAGTCCCTATTATCTCAAACACAACCAAGAACACACCTTCACAACCATGTTGCAAAAAAAAAAGGGGGTGTTTAACAACCTCCCTGAAACGATACTATCCATAACGGCAAAGGACCAACCAAAACTTGCCTCACAAGGAAGAGAAAACGGGCCAAAAAACTTCCTTCCAATTTCGTTTACACTTTAATCTCCCGAAAGCGTTCTCTATGTAGGTATTAACAAAGCTCAAGCGAGCGCGCGTCAAATGATCGACGGTAAAATTAACTCCAGCGCTTGGCATGCATCGCATATGTAGTTACGTCGCCAAAGAACGAAACGAAGTCACAGTCAATACAGAGCCCCCAAAGAGTGACCAAAGGCCATGCCACGAAAGAAAAAAGAGAGGGGCCAACTAGAGTTTCTTCAAGAGTGCGAGCGCATAGTGGCGCATAGTAGAAGTGGCGCATTAAGCGATCAGGAGAAGGAAAATACGTACACTCAAGACAGAGCCATCACACGAACTGAATGTACTGAGGCCTCTGAACTGAACTGATGGCTTGATCTAGGTCCTAAAAGAAAGGAGAGCAGTGTTCACTTCAAACCCCCGCCCAGTGCCCACTACCGCCTTCAGTCAAGAAACTGTCGGGTTAAGGGGGGCTATATATATATTAATTATGCCCTTACGCACAGGTAGGGGGCGGCGAAGCAGGGGCACCAGCGGCTGCGAGTGACGCCAACTGCCGATCTGGATGAATGATAACATGTCTTTCGCGTTTAACACTTCACTTCCTTCCATCCAAGCTCAGTTTCTTCCTCGCCTCAAGGAATCCACGTTCTATACCACCCCTCCCCCCAAGTAGTCCATTGACGGCATGGCAGCCCTTCCTTTCTCTAGGATACTGATGAAACAACCTGATAGGAGCCTGAAGAAGAAGAAGAGAAGACAGAGCCGTTGCGCGCCTATGTGGCAACTCGTGCAAAGTTAAGAACCCACACCCTTGGCTAGCACAGCATTGTGTGTGTGTGTGTGTGTAAGTTTTCCTCGAGTTTTTTTTTCTGCTTTGATTCGCTAGAAAGCGACCACCAAGCTACAAGAAGGCTTTGCCGTTATTGTGTGTGCCGAAAACTTGACTAAATGAGGCACTTGCCAAATCGGGGAATACACCCTCCAACACCCTTCCCAAAAAAGAAACCAAACAATCTTGCACAGCCAGTTCCACCACCATCCTCAAAGGATCGGATTGTCAGATCTTAATTAGGGCGGGGAGAAGATGCTAGCCATGATGGTCGTTCGTTGTTTTTGTTTTTCGAGACAATTGACTCCATCCGACCACGCGTGTAACATCAAAGACATATATGAGAGCGATGCAAATTGAGTTAGGGAAGAATGGAGATGAACTCTTGACAGGAGGAGTGATTAATTGATGCGTTGGAGTACCTTTACCTTCTGCCCGCTCGTTTGATGGATGTTGTTCGAGTTGAACGAAGCTAGACGGACGAGTTGCTACCGGCCGCGCCCGCCAAGATTTAGAGTAGCTGTAACATACATACGTACGTACGTACGTACTGTTGCTAACCCAGAAGTGGGACACATAAGCAAATTTTTATTATATTTCCAGCTACAGACCTCAGAATCGAGTCGTTATTTTTTTGAGCGAGACCTCTGTATCACTTGTATCTACTGGAAAAATACTGGAGATATTCTTCGAGTTGTGGTGGCTGAAGAAAAGTTTTGTGTTGCGAGCTCAAAAACGTGCCGGGAATTTCCGTCACCACATTGTTGGACAGTGCTATCAGAAGCCCCGCGCCAGCACCTCTGCTGCCTCTAGCTCCTCATTTGATATCTGGCTGTTGCCTTTCCGATGCACAACTGGTGGAGGAGGTCCCGGGAAAATCGCGGGTGTATTTCCATACATATACTCGACTCCCTCTTCATCCGCGACAGGGTTCGGATTTCCATAGCCCATTTGGACTGCTGCAAGACCCCGTGGAGTTGGGAAAATATGTCGATGCTGAGGTGGGGGTTGACTGGAAGCTCTTCTGGAGGAGCATCTTCAGTCCGTGGTCGTTTTGGTGATGTTTCAGGTGTGTTCTCTTTGTCATCGCTGGCACGCTTTCGCTTGCTTCCCCTCATGTTCCTCGATAGATTCCTTGCGGGATTTTTTGTCCTGGTGACAATTCTAGCTGCCTTCTCAGCAGCCTTTGCTGCGTCCTTTGCAGCCTTTATCATTGCCCTCCGTAGCTGCTCATCCTGTTTCTTTCTCTCACGCTCTGCCTTTGCAGCTTGTCGTTTGGCTTCGTTCACAGCCTTCTCCACCTCTCTCCTCTGGGCCAGAGCCGCCCGTGTGGCCTGCTGCTGTGCAACCTCTTGAGCACGAAGGTGAGTCTTTCGGATCCTTGCCACTTCCTTTGCGCATGTCAGGAGATTGGTCCTGACAGCCAATTCCTGTTCCTTGTCCAGCCGCTCGAGGGCATCTTCCACTGACATATGCCCTGCAGCATCATTAAAAGCCTGGCGAGTCGATTCACTATTCTTCTTTTTAATGTTTATTTGTTCCTTCAGCCGTGTTAACTGTCCGCCAACAATTACAGCATGCGCCCATGCTGCCCTCTCAGCTTCGTGCAACTCATGATTGTTAGTTTGCAGCTGAGCAATATAATCAAGTAGGTCCCTCTTCGGTGTCTGCATACCTAGTTTAGGTGCAATTGTTGCTGAAGAATTTCTAGTTAAATCTGTTGATCGGGTGGAGCGACGGAGGGAGGGGGGTTCATGATTGTTATCTGGAAGGTGGGTTTCGGCACGATTGTCATGTTCATCATCGCTGCTGTCTGTACCCTTGCTATCCTCATAAGATAACTCGCTATCGTCACCAGAGTCACAGTCAACTGGATACCCATCTGGAAGGTGTGAATGGCGTGTGGTAGATGTAGTGCAGCTCGGAGCGAAATCTGCTCCAGTGAAGACATTGTGTGAGGGTGGCCACAACCCAGTTTTGCGAAATGCATTCTTGATTATATCAGGCTGCATTGCGGATGATCGTGCTTGAAGGTATATCGGAATGAAAGACTTCTTTGTCAGACCTTGAAGTGTCAGTCCAACATGCTCATCTACAAGATTAGCAAAACTTTTTTGAAGCATGCCAAAGACTCCAACATCTAGGGGCTGGAGTTTGTGTGTTGTATGAGCTGGAAGCCGAAAAACCAATACACCAGCCCTGTCGGCCTCGATGACAAGGGTTTCCTGACAGTGCGAGCCATGTCCATCACAGATAAGGGCAATTCTCTTCCCTGAGATGTTTCGTGCCTGAGCTTGGGGGATGAATGTATTTTTGAGCCAAACCTTACAATGCTCATTATCGATCCACCCATTCTCAGAACATGCCAACCTACAAAAATATTAACAATCTCCTAGATTTGAGCTAACTGGATGAGAAACTCACGTATGTGCACCCTCAACATCGCGTGCTGTGAACCAGCTCTTCATTATCCTCTTCCCTTTAAAAATAACGTATGGCTTCATGGCAAAACCATCAGCTGCGACACATTCAACAATTGTTACACTTTCAAGGTTGGCATCCCGTATTTTGTACTGAATTTTCGAGTTCTTGTCAAAAAAATATTTGCGCTGCCTTCCTTTTCGGCCAGCACCAAGCTGGATGCCCTTTTCATCGTAGTTCCAAATATTCTCTGGAGGTATTTCCCATTTTGAAAGGAGGGCCTCCCACTGATCTTGGTGGTTGCTGACCGTAGTTGGATTGAATGCACGTGCACGCTTTGTATCAAGAGATGAGGGTCGGCAATAGTGAATTTCGTGTCGATGTCGGTGGACAAATCGATGGAACCAGTTCTTCCCAGGATTGTGACCACAGATGGTCTTGACATAAGCAAGTACAGCACGGCGGTCCAGGGGTTGTGCCAGGCTGCCAAGGTGTTTCATCCAGTCTACAACGACTTGCTCCTATTTCAATTTTAATGAGCCATGATCGGGACAAAAAATATTATTTTCCACACACCTCAGATGGGGCAAGAAGTTGTAGGTGTGCATGAGAGGCACTTCTTGAGTGCATACCTTGAGATTGCCGGTTGTGCAAAGTGCTTTTTGGAATGTCATAGGCGCGTGCTGCCTCTCGTAGACTCTGAATCTTCTTACTCTGCAAATCAGCTAGGGCACATGATATTCGCTCTTCAATGTCAGAGGAAGGTCCCATAGTGTCAGAGAAAGAAATGGACGGAAATTTTGGGGGAATCTGGCAAGGTTTATAACATCGCATTCTCAGGGTCACTCACTGTTGGTAATTCTGGTCCTGACAGCGTTGACAAGCAATAGAACTTTCCGAAAATGCGGGGAAGATTTCTTGAGAGTTCTTAGAATCGACTCCAATCATTTTACGGAAGGGTGTAAGGTAGACTCGTGAGCTACAGGGGCAGGAGCATAGCAGAATGATGGTTTCGGAGACAATGGCCCGATAGTTATATGTCAAACACCACAACACTCATATAAAACTCCGGGATTTTTTTGGACAATTACATACATGTGATTCCTCTGCACATAATGGCAAAGAATGATCGGTGAAGGAGATATGAGGCAGTTATGGGCATTTGTCCCATTTCTAGGTGTGTCCAATCCCGTGATATATTATAGTATGCTTCAACTAGTGGCGCCAATTTGTTCCAAGTCATCCGGACCCAAAGCCCGATAAATATCACTTCCGCAGTAACCTCGGTGGAGGACGAATTTCTGCCTTCCTTTTTAGGTAAATCAAGCCGACATTGATCGGCATCGGGTGTGTCGGCAACCCCGCCCAGCCCACAAACCCCTGTTCTTCCGGTACCGGGATAAGGTTTAACCCACAGAGACAAGTCGAGGATAATACTGTAATACTGATGGCGCAGTTGAAGCTGTGTTCTCACAACTTACCAGCAATATGTGGCCAAGACATGATTTTGTCGATAAGGCAGAAGAAAAAAGGACACGAAGAGACCGAGACCGAAACCTGTGTTCAAAAACACCAAATCGGGCCGTCGTTCCAGTTCTTAAATAGTTTTAGACTAAGGGGTTATGATGATGTGAACGAATAAGTACTACTATGTAGTAACAATATCACGGACTGTTCCGCGGAGGACCGGTCATTTGGTTGGTTGGATCAGTTCGTTAACCGCACAAGATGCCCACATGTGGGGCAACAGCAGAAGAGAAGTCCTGGTAAAACAAAAACAGAAAACAGAAAAAAATGAACGAAGAAAAGCTGAATGACGTACCAGCCACGAACAGGAGAAAAACTTCCAATATTGTGTAAGCAAACGGTAAGACGGAGTGGCCTGTTCAAGTAAGCGTAACACCTGAAATAATATTGCAAGGGAATTGCTACCCTTTGATTGAAGGAAGATCCAAGGTGAAACGCTGAAAAAATATGACGTACCATGTAACACAGCGGAAGGACAATCAAACGTGTTGGGGTAGGGGGGGAGAGGAACCCCAACAACCGAAACAATAGAAATAATTGCCCTGATCACGAGGTCCCACCCCCTGCCATATTGCGGTCACGAGTAGGACCCGTCCCGGAATTCCGGCCGCAGCGTTCCGAAATGTCGTTCTCTTCGGAGCGCGAGAAAAAGGGGCCTTACGGCAATAAGGCCACCTATCACCGAACCAAGAGGTCATGGGGGGAGGGGGCGCTGCTGCTGGCATTAATATTATCACTGTAATTGGCCAGCACAAGGCAATGATCATAACTGCCGTGCCTTTCGGAACAGACCACAAGCAATATTGAGATACGCGAGATTGAAAGATCAACAACTTCCCCAGATAAGCGGGAGCATCGGCAGGAAAGACTGCCGAGAAAGACTGCCGAAAGATGGCCGGGACGGGGGGGAGGGAGGGAGAGGAGGTAAAGCGGTGCGCCATCTGGCAAGGTCCCAACGGTGGCTTGATGATAGCGGCGGCTGATCAGTACTATGCGACACCCCCCCCTCCCCTCCCTCCCTTCCCGAAAATTGCAATTCCTTCTAAGCGCGAAGAGAGGCGCATCTTTTGAGGGATTTTTTTCCCGTCAACAGCGCAGCGTTGATGATGGCTCGACTAAAAGCTAAAGCGGTGCGAAAACACGAACACGAAGTGGGGGCAAATTGATCACTAGGTCGAAGGCTGTGCTTCCGGACAAAAAAATTAATCGAAAGAACGATAACCCTTTTTCGGACAGGCACGAAGAGCTTTGTATATGGCAGTTGGAGTAAGTAGGGTTGGGGTGGGCCAGGGGCAGCATAAGTAGTTGCCACTATCGCTTCAATACATAACATGCGACATCCTTTACGTAGAGACGATCGATAGTATGCAGGATGGCCTGGTTACTTTCCAATTTCCAATTTTGGTTTTAGCTAAAGGGCAATCTACTGCCGTCGGCCGAGCGAACGAGTGGCTGCATGAGAAGGGCCAAGTTTTAGTTTTTTTGACGCGGCAGCCAGGCCCGAACCCAGTTTCGGCAGATGGTCGGCATCGCGCAAAAAGCGTTGCAACCCCCTCCCCACAATATTGACCATACGGCACCACGTTCGGCCGTTGTGGTCCATGATGTGGGCTATGGTGATATGATGATGTCGCGTCGAGGGCACTGACAGCCATCGGCAACCAAGTGATCCGCTCGCTAACGGACCAAAAAAAAAAAATCCAGCCTAGGGTAACTGACACGACTTGAGCTGATCGAGAGCCAGTTTGTTGGCACGTATTCTGGTCGCATGGCTCATGCACATTTGACATCGAGTAAAGAAGGCAACACTAGTTACTGTATTTGCAAACTGAAGCACTCGATTGGGGTCGATCTGCCTGCAGGCAGGCGGTCAGAGGCGGCTTGTGTGTTCAAGCGTACACAGGCATGTACGCATGGCCTTCGCTTGAGGCCCCAACATGCACCTCAGTTCGGAAAGTGTCGGGTGAGCCTAGCTCCAAGTACCTCGTGTCCAAGGGACGAGCGCTAACACCCAGCTGGGGCTTGCCCAAGGAATTAGTAACCAGGAACGTCGCGCCCATACCAGCGCATGACCAGTCCATCACTTACATACTGTAAGCGGGAAGACTCGAGGCCCCGAGGAAGATGAGCGGAAAACTCCCCCAATCGGCCAGGCACCGTTACTTTTTTTTTTTTTTGCGATCTTCGTCTCGCGTGCATATAATTATATAATGCGATGAATTTGACTGGTTCAACGTTCCCAAATCTCTGCCGACGGTTCACTCGGATCGGACATGATATCAAGCCGCTCTCGCTTCTTCATGGAACAAGGAATCATGCATGAAAAAACAAAAAAACAAACATGTTCCCACTCAAGATGGTTGGACGAGCCCGGCCGACATCGTTTCACGTTTGATTTTCATCTTGCAAATCCCCGAGTTTGATGTTCGTTCTCGGAGTTAGTTACGTTGCTTCTTTCATGGCAGTTTCACCTATAGGCTATCACTGGATGAAGTGAGGCTACAGTAATGTGTTGACCCTGTGCTTCGAAGCCACACACACACACATCTAGCATCTTGGTACATTTTCCAATCCCTCCCTTGAATCGCACGACAATAACAATAACGCGAACGGTCCCCGTCAACCGGTTGGGATTTATCAAAAAATCTCAGTCACCAAGGCCGACAATCACGCGTTTTGTGCTATTCGCCCCGGCCATAGCCGCAGATCATGATCACAACACGCATACACTAGCTCCATCCATGCTCACGAAAAATGCATACTGTCAATCCGTTTCATTTAATATATCTACGGAGCCTCACCCTTTTCATTTCATTTCCCCTTTCCTCCTACTTTCTATCTCTGGACATTAATTGTCCGTTCTTGAGTTCATCTATCTGCTGTCCGTATGTGAACAGTCTGGCACGATACATGAAACGTCTGTAGCTTCGACCCACTCGCATCGGATTCCGAGAAGATGCATGGAAGACCCGTGATTTCCCGAGATTTATGCGTACGATCGACGGTGGACAACCGAGTGGATGGAGTGAGTCGCCTTCTTTGGCTGGCAGTAAAAGGCCAATGCCGCGCATTCGAGCTTAACCCATCTTGGAACAGATGAAGGGAAAGTCCTAGTTATTGGCTTGGGATCCGAACCCAGATTATGTAATTACCAAATGTCGGCGTTGGGGGAAGGGGGGGGGTTCTACAGTGGGAACATTTGCATAGCCCAAGCAGTTACGGAAGGCCCAACAATGTTTTCGATCTGTTATGATATAAGTGGATCTAAGTGGTTTAACTGCAGCTAGCTTATTTACACAACAACTACTACTGTAGCGCTTCATGAACCGTGTCCTAATCCGTACGAAAAGGAGCAACACGATCGACTCGTAAAAGGGGAGGGAGGAAGGGGGAGGGCGTTATGAACCGTCACACCAGGGAGACTGAAATTGTAATGTCGCGACGTTAAATTAAATGAAAGTGAGAATTTCAAATCGTTTGTTGGCGGGAAACAATGCAGCCCAGCCACACAGCATTAGTGGGACAACGGAACTTTAACTAGTCCAGTAAGAAGACCCGGGATGACATTTGTGTATGGACGTGTGATTAGGGGGAGGCGAGGGGGGGGGTGGGGAGGTTGGGGTTCAAGACGTTTGATGAAGTAGCTTGGATGGATCCGTGCGGGGCTCGCTCATGAATATGAAATTTTTTCGTCATGGATTGTTCACACCTTCACTGATCGATGTGTACACATGTTACTATGTTACTACGATTTCCCCCCCCTCGCTTCAGCCATGAGATTCAGTTTCAAAAGTGGGGATGGTGCTCCGACATTCTAGAATGCATGACAGACGAGACTGAAGCAAGAAAACCAACGTGCTCGATTCCACATTTGCAGCCGGACGTACTTATTCTAGAACGTTCCGCGAGCTAGGCAAATCCGCGGGGTTGCAATCGAGGGGGGGGGGGGCCGAAAGAACTAGTAGAAGATTCTCGATCAAACTGGAAAACGTGGTTGCCGTGTTCAGGCATGCAAGAAATGTGGAGCGTCATGTGTATTCTGTTCATTTTCAAAGCATGCAATCAGTAGCTAGCAGTTTGTTGCGAAGGGGGGGGGGGGGGAGCCAAAAGCTGCTAGCTCAGATCTCGTGCATAACACCCAACTGCGATAAACACGTACTTTTCGCGAGACGAGTTGTCACATGTGCAAAATTCGGCGAAAGGTAGCCAAGTCGATTTTGAACAACAGTTGTTTGAACAGTTTCCACCATGATAACGCTCCACCGTGGTACGGTTAATTTGGAGCCTCCTCCCCACCCCCCAATGTTGAAGAAAGAAAATGGGTCTCATCCGTCACGGTGGGGCTATAGGTGATTTGCACCCTATCCATGCCACACAAGGGGTAATTCGATAATGTAACGATTTCGTACTTCCGCTCATTCGTCAATGGTACTCGAGCCGAAGCGCCAATTTACGAGTGCATGTATTGAGTGGGGGGAGTTGGCCGAAGTATCTGCACGACAGATATGTTATGTATCAATGTTAAATTACCTCGACCGTGTTTCTTCCTGTTTGGGTACCGTGCGCGTAAGTAAGTAGTAGTAGGCGAGCAAGCCGCATGATCATGGTGGAACTGACCATATGTGGAAGGGAATGCTAAGGATAGAATTCATGTGCACTGGAGTCGAAATAATATTGTAATGTGGAGAGAGGCTGTTGTTGACCCCGTGTCCCAACAGCACATGATTGCAGGAAGATAAGAGGAGTTGGTCGCGGATGTTTAGAATGTGGGGGTGTGTGTTTTTCACACGGCTGTAATCTCCCAGTAACTACAAGCTGCAACATGTCGAGTTGTTGATTACACGCGCGACGTCGGCCGGAATGGCCCGAAGGAAAGGGCACGGGTCCAGGGGGGGGTGTCATCTAATCGGACCAATTGGATTTGGATTAAAACTCTTCCCATTGGAGCATGGAGCCATGTTGAAGAATTACATATAGCCGCGGTGACGCGTTCAACCTCCGAGCGGGCCATCGGAGCGGGGTTCATCGTACAATATCATCCGTCGGTTTGAATATTACCCGGTTGAGTGTTAGCGTGGGGGGCTTACTTACGAACAATATAATATTGAACAATAACCGATTCGAACCGACCCTGGACCCGAGGGACTCGGCCGGCAGCGGGGGGGGGGGGGGGTTGGCTCAAGTGGAACTTCGGCAGTGTAAAGTGCGCGTGCAGGCGCGTAAACAAGACAGACAAATGGTTTTGAAGTGATATTAGTAATTGGTCAAGCCCTCTCTCTCACCTTTATGTAAAAGGACACGATTACAAATCAACGGCGGAGGAGAGGTTCAAAAAAATCCGAAGAAAAAGGGGTTGGGGGGCACAGCCGGACCAGATGGTACGTTTTTTTTTGACAGCTTGGCCGCCGGCAGGGTTCAATCTCCGTCAATGAATGGCTGTGCAAATTCAATTGGAAAAAAAAAAAAAAAAGATCCGTAATATATATATAGAGACGAAACGCAAACATGCATATGATCCTCTCTCTCCCCCACCTCGCCTCCTTTTCCGGCATCGTTCTGCTCACCCGAGCCGCTGATAGGCGCCTTGTTGATATGCAAACGTGTACCCACGCACTGTGCACAGCTAGATCTGGCATGCAAGTTAATATATATATATATATTCAACCCTCCACATAGGATTGCCGTTTGCCCCCCCCACAGCCAACACGTCGCAAGTCGGCGATGCGATGCGCATTTGCAAGCAAGTGTAACAAACTCCGGTCTAGGGGAAAGGCAACGCATAAAAAAATAATAATCATAATAGCTTTGGTATCCGACGCGACGCGATTGCATCTACATATTACTTTCCCTGCGTCAATATGTAATCAACCATCTTGCTATCTACCCAAATACTTGATCCCATCTGCAAAGCTATGGTTATGGGGAATCTTATTTTTAAGAAAATTTTCCAACGGTTTGGCCATAGCACAGCGTAATCCTAATTTTTTACGCGTGCGCGTGCGCAGCACGACTACATAGCTGTATGCATCCTCTCCCGCCACCGCCCAACCGCAGCTGCCTTTGCGTGGAAGGATGATCATTATTATACGCGTAGTATTACAACGTGTTCATGATACTTCAAATCGAATCGACGGATGGGAGATAATTCTTCACCATCATGCATGATCATCAAGCCAGGCATCCTTTTAATTGGGGGGGAGGGGGAGGGATACCGCAGTAAATGTATGTTGCATAGGTTATGCAGGCTGGCGATAGTAACTGATATTGCGATAAGTAATGAAAAGTGACGTTGCGCATTGTCGAGGAAGAACCATCCTCATTTACATCTTTTGAGTTGTTTTTTTTTCTTTCACAAACAATATTCGTCTCGCGTGTGTGGACACGTGTGGGCATATAATAATAATATTATTAGGGTTTTAGATAGGGAGCTTGGGGGCCCGGGGAAAAAGAAGCGTACTATGTGAGTGGGGGGATCCTCCTAATGGAAGGGTCGATCGGAGGGGCCGGAGGTATTCTGGAAGATTTCATTGATCGAGCGACTAGTACACTATATACTAGTGCAAGGTCCCAGGATCCTGCATAAGATCGGATGTCAGATCCGGAATAATGGTATCTAGCTATAAAGTGCTGTAGCCATGTCGATATTCAATATTATTGCAATGGGGAAGTGCTGCCACGTTCGAATCTCGGATCGATCCACCGCCATCATGCAGCCAAATATCGCTGGAGGAAAGTACTGAAGATATAGACATAGAAGAAGAAGAAAGGCTGAGAAGAAGAATTAGAAGAGGGGATCTGGACTTTCTGGCGATGGCAATGGGCGCGCGGTATAAGTTAAGTATTGTACATTCGAAAGGAAAGTTTTGGCCATACATTGGATCGTTGCATACAATGCATATGGTTCCTTGTAAGTATAAGATATGAGGAAGCGCTAGGCCATGACTCGAATTAATAGATTGGCATGCATGGGGCGTGACAGGTACATTCAAATGTCATCATGGCATAACTACTTATGTACTATGCATACGATTTGGGTAAGGGCGCGCGCAGGTAGCGACGGTTTAGTCCCAGTTTAGCAGCTTATAATTATCGTTGGGGCGACCCAACCTCTCCCCCTCCTCCACTCCCCCGGGGAGCGGAGATGAAAAGATTCATACGCATATGATTTGATCCGCGCTATGGGCAGTGCATGTACGTAGGTATGCATTGTACATACGTGTCACAAGAAGCGCCATGATGTGAACGCATGTTGAGGCGGCTCTTGGCGCTAATGCTACACTAGCTTAGCCATGGCGCGCGCGCGCGCTAGTAGGGGAGGGGGAGCCCGGGGGATCCGATCTGGCGGAGTTGTAACATGATATTGATCAGGGCGGACAGGGAAGATGATGTTTGGATTTGTGTGATTGGCCACAAGGGTGAGATGGATGGGCTGGGCTGGGAGATGTGGAGATGTGGAGATGTTTTGGACCCCCCCCTCCCCCAGCCCCCATCAGCTAGCTGCTAGGCATGTAGTTGATGCGTATACGGAACGGATATGGATGATGGATGTACATACATGACGAGCATGCACAGCTTATAGCTGGGGGCCCAGCCGGATGACATGAGTAACCGTGCACGTCCCCCTCACGACGGTACGTTTGTCCATCAGGATCGATCGTTCAGTACAGATCTTGGAACCCCCCAGTACCTTCTATCTCTTGGTATGCTTTTTGCTTTTGCTCTTTTGCTCTGTTGGCTTTTTAACTTTGCCTGCATGCATACAGCGCATGTACGATATAGTAACGTGGGGGCTTGCGCATTGCAATGTGCGCATGACAGTACTACTACTGCACAACCACGATCATCGATCAGTTCGTCAATCACTCAGCTTAGTAGTGGCGCCACAACATCCGCAAAAATATGTGACATTGCAAAAACACGCGTTGATGGTTTGGAAGAAAATCTAATCTTTCTTTCTTTTCTTCGGAGGGGGATTAGGAACATTTCATCATCATTCATGTTTGGGTTAATGTTTCGTACGTCGGGAATCTAGGTTGCAAAGCTGTTTGATCGAGTCAACACTCGAAACACTCAAAAGTGCGTAAGGAAATGGTGAGCGGCATTTTTGGGAATTATATATACATATGTACTAGTTGCGTCGGCAAGCTGTGATGGATATCGTATTGATTGTGAACAAACGGGTGAAAAAAAAGAAAGAAAGAATGGATGGGTGGGATGGAGCATGGGAGGATGGGAATTCGGTCGGCGTCAGGGGCCAGGAGTAGATAGACTGCACAACCCGGCCACTCACCTCGAGATTGTGGTGCGGTAAAGGCGTGGCCCCCATCCGGTATAGATACCGCGTTTGGTTGCCAAAAAGATGCTTACATATGAAAATTGAGTTTGGTTCACACGGAGGAGACAACATGCATTCGGCCACCCCCCCACTACTATGCCGCATATATTGTACAATGGGTATGATCATGTATGGATATGGGTAACTTGACATGCGGTTGCATTGTTGCGCGCGTCTGATGGCGATGCGAGTACTTGTCTCATCAGGGAATTGATATATGTTTATTTTTTGTTTTGGTTGTAGCGTGTACGGACGTTGTAGTTGCACGGTTTAGCGATGTCTAAAAGCTTACAAGATTGATGGTTGAAAGGAAGGCGAATTGCGTAAAGTCAAGTTCAAGTTGGGTGCTTGTGCTGTACTGGCTCAAGTGGATCGACGGTGGGGGCACGGGCAAGCAAGGAGCATTAATTGGTGGCTGGGACTTGATAGCGGTGCGTAACAGGTCCTCTTGTAGCAGCTTACTATGTGTGTTATCGGTTAATACGAACAGTAATGAGGTATAATGCGGAGATGGACTCTAGACTTATGAACTAGCTTCTGTGGTGTATGAACTGTTCGACCGGCCTAGTACTTGCAGTGCTGTCACCCTGACAGTTCGTATGTTCGGATTGAAATTACGTCCGGACGGTGGGGGGGTCCCCCCGACGGGATGGGCCGTGTACGTTGTTGCTGTTGGTACTACATAATTTGTTGTTATGGTGGTAGTGGTTGATCGAATTAGAAGGGAGAAGGTGGAAGGAGCGAGATGGCGGTGCACAAGTAAATGAGACGGCGGCCCCCTGCTGCAATGAGTTAGTTGGCCAGTGTGATCGGGAATGGAACACTGGAAGGGGTATGTATGCCGTGCGCTTGTTAAACGTGGTACGACCGGGGTATGGCTTTTAGGTTGTGGTTAGCTGTGTGTGTTAGGGTCGCGTGATCGTACGGTCACGGTTGATCGTTGCAAGCTGAGAAGCGATTAATCATGCACTGCAGGGGCTCAAGGACACAGGTGGTACGGACATGCTTTGGGTGCGCAGCGAACGGGCAACCGGTGATATTATTCTGGGAACAGTTATGGGAGTAATTGTATGGTACACAAGGAAACCCTGTTGTTAGTGTGGGCATGACAAGGATGTGCAATGTCAAGTTTGCGGGTAGAGGTGGGTGGTCATGGATGATGAGAACATATGGTTCGGGACGGAAGGGAATGATTATTAATTTGCGAGCAGGACGGGGAAGGATGTTGTGTGTGTCAGTGTTGGCCGAGGGGTGGAGCATGGTAGCGCATGATAGTAGATCCATAATGACTATGAACGGGAAGAACGGGGAGGGGAAGGGGAGTTCGGAGAGGACCGTCCAAAGAGGCTTAGTCATCCGAGAAGGCAGGTATAAAGTTGAGAATGGGTTGAAAGAGGGCGGAGGTGGCACTGTCAACATTTCTCGTTGGATAAAACAACCCTCTCTCCCCCCCTCTCCGCGTCTTACCTATCATCAGTTCTGAGAGTTTAGCCCCTTAGCAGTTCCATCTCAGTTGCTCAGGTCTCGAATTGAAAACAACAAAACAGAAAAGCGGTGAGCGTGTCCTGTTTCATTCAGTTCAATTCATTCCTTTTTCTTTTTCTTTCTCACTATTTCCCTTTTTTCTTTTTTTCATCTCACCGGTTCTATATATTTATTCCCAAAAGGGTTTATATTCCGCATCTTTGTTATTTTGGTCCGATAGTTGGAAATTGGCTAGTCACAATCCCTCTATATCAAAATATTGATTGAATTACTTTCATTTATTTCTTTTTACTAATAATTGTTTTATTATTTTCACTGTTTATAATAAGGCTTGTCTCTTCTTCATCAACATTCCCCTCAACGCCCTCAACGCTTTCAATCAACGTTCTCCACCACCTTTTTCCCTCCATCATGCCTTCAGATGCTGCTCAGCGTAGGGGTAGTCCAAGCAGACGCCCCAACCAGACGTCCAAGCAGATACCGTCTTCCTCGGTGCGTAGCTGACTCAACATCATCAATCTTCTCCTTCCTCTCCCCCCTCCTCCTTCCTCTTATCCATCCCATCATTCTCCATTTCTCACATCTACCTCCAGTCCTCAGATCCATTTTATGGACACGAAGATACTGCCAAGATGTCGGCAGCATTCATCTCGCACCTTTTTGCGTGCCCCGACCTCCCTCCCCCCTCCAACGCTGTCACTTCCACGGGCGCTCCTATCCCCTCCCCCAAACTGGCCAACTTTGTAGCCTATGCTCTTCACCGCACCCGTCTCCCTTCCAGCGTCACTTTCGCCTCCCTCTTTCTGCTACAGCGTCTCAAGGCTCGTTTCCCAGCCGCCCGTGGATCCTCTGGCCACCGTTTGTTCATATCGGCATTCATGATCGCTTCCAAGGTCATATGCGATGACACCTACTCTAATAAGTCATGGTGCGTGGTAGGACAGGGTATGTTTTCTCTCAGGGAGATCAACCAGATGGAGAGGGAGATGTGTGGATACCTCGATTGGCAGTTGAACGTTCCCCAAACCGACCTCGAACAGTTTACGAACAAGGTCCAGGGTGAATTCGGTTCGAGTACAACCTCTTTAGAAGCAGCGTCGAGTTCGACGTCTTCGTCGACATCTCAGCCTATTATCCCTCCAGCTTCGTCGATATCGCCGCCTCCGTCAGCATCGTCGCACAAGTCGACCGTGTTCGTCACTGTCCCCTTCTACCAGCAGCGTCCGCCTTTCAAGGGTGCCTCCTCGGATTCGCCGCCAGACGGTCCCGGTTCTCCATCTCACTCCGACACATCTTCCCCCGCATCCACTTCCCCTGCGACGCCATCTAACAGTGAGGACTCGGCGCCTCATGTTGTTGTCGGTAGCCATCCGCATGGGATACCGAAGACTATGGCCACTGGCGGTGTTGTGGAGAAGGGACACATTGACACTTCCTCCTCGAGCAACTACGCTTTCGCTGCCCCCGCGGTTTGGTAGACGCTTATGCGACGTTGCCGTCGCTAGGCTCATCTCTGCATATTCTGTAGCATCCTTCGGTATTGCCGTCTAGGATATCCATCTCCGCACACCCTCATCATTCTCCCGCACAACATTTTCACACTCCGATATGTCACTCTACCCCATGCATGTTCATTGATCTCCCATCATCTTTTCACTCACGCACTGCACAACAGATCTGTTAAGATAAATATCTAGACCAGCCCTAATGCTTAGTTCGCTTTCCTCATCTGGGATTCTCGCAAAGCCTTGACTTCTAGTGCCTGGTGCTGGTGAGGCTCAAGGGTTGCGGGTGAAATTCCGGTGGGAAAGAACCTTACTATCGCTCTTTCTGGCTAGGCGCCTTTCATAACGTCGAAGCCTTCTGTACCCTTCAATCCATTTCACATTGGTTGTTCTATCTCTCCTTTCTCGTTTTATTTTTCCTCTTTTTTTATTCCTTTCAGACTCAACTCTTGGCGTGCTGGATTTTGACGTGATACCGGATCCCCCCCAACTGGCCGCTCCGCCGTAAGTGCTACTGTATGTGTCCGATTTGGATATTCCGCGGACGGACGGACTGTAGAGCAACCTGACGACCCTCACATTCTCCCGCAAGCTCGCTCGCTAGATCTCGCCGATCGTCCCCTTTGCAAGACCCGTCTCATCTCATCATCGCTGTAGCGCCATATCTGGACACATTCATGACCCCAATCCTCCACTACTCTATCCCTCATCACCGATGACGGCGATGACCTGAACTATGGCGACGCAGCAAAAACAACGCACGACCTTTTCCCCTTGTGTGTAAATCGACTGTATTATTTTGGTCTGAACTCAAATTATATCGTCGTTTTTCCCTACCCCCCACCCCCTTGGCGTGCGTTTTTTCCCCATGGGAGAAGTTTACCTACCAATGTCCGTTTTTTTTTCTCTTTTCCCTTCTCTTATGCTTCTTCCTCGTCATCTCTACTACTACTTATGTCTAGTATTGTTCCATCTTGTCTGTCTTGTCTGTGTAACAAAAATCTTATTGGGGGGTTTCGTGTATAAACTGGATTTCTCGCCCGTTTTTTTCTTCCCGATACCCAGTGACGGAGCGATAGCTGATCCGCACACCAAGCACGCGCTCGTACCTCCCCTTGGCTTGAAATTTGGACGTGGCCTCATTGCGTTCTCCTTCAGTCGTTCGGCGTCGATCTCTCTGCCTGGCTCTTGCAGATCGTCGGTCTACTCTCTCTCTCTCCCTGTTTTCTTTTCTTCAGAGCGCAGCGACAACGACTTAAGGATAGATGGGATATATATATACTAAATATCGTGTGTGTAATGTGTGTGTGTGTGTTGATCTTTTTTTTTCGTGGTAATATTTTTATGAACTAACGTTGTCCAACCGTGCGTTCGTTTTCATCGATCCGTTGCGTTGCAGTTGCCCGTGCGAACTTCCTATGCGAAAAAGTCCGAACCGCCCCGACCTTAGCGAAGCTTGTCGTTCCCATACATTGCGATCGCCTCCCCCTCCCCTTCCCAATCGAGCCCTGCAAAAAGTTATATATCCCCCCCTTTGGATGTTCATCGCGTCGAGCGTTTCAACCCCCTTTGAGCTTGTTCATTGTCACCCACACACACATGGGATGCTTCGTTTCCATTAATGTGGTACGTTCGTCCCTAATTTCCTCGCACGTTCACAAGACTCACTGATGATGGCTTCCCTTTCTCTTTTTTCTCTTTTCCTTATTGCCCATCAATTGTAGCCGTCATCATCATGCATGACCACCATATCACATTAAGCGGACAACACCATATGCATAAGCTCCAGTCAGTTTCGGCTGCTAGTACGTACTACTAACTGCTGCTGCTGCTGCTGCTGCTGAGGCTGCCCGTAGTTGCTGGGGAGGATGCTTCCTGATCGATCGAGTAGGTTGGATTTTTGCGATCACAGGTTGGCCAAATTTGGATCGGTGACGCATGGACGACTTTGGGGGGAGGGGGGGTTTACGTACCAGTCACGATTGGCTGAACGGGAGGCGAAGCGAAGCTTGTTCTTTCCTTATGCACGGCGGGCATTATAAGATGTAAATCTGTGGCTAGTTGGCCTGCAATGTGAAAAAAAGGTAAATGTCGTTTCTTTGTTTTTTGTCCCATAATGATGTTTATCTTCCCTTGTAAGCTGACTCAGGTACCGATACAGACTTGTTTCAGCTGATTATCTGGGCGCATCATGATGCGTGCACATTGCGCGCGCCCGCGCACGGGGGGGTTCAATCTGGACGTTGCGGTCCTTTTTTTTTTTTCTACTATTCCTTAACTTGCCAAGCGATCGATATTTGTCCGGCAGTTATCGGATCATATTCTTCTCGAGCTTTTTTTTTTCGTTGCTAAAAAGACGTAAGTAGTTGGGAGAGAGAGAAAAAAAAGATAACTCGAAAATTGACGTTAGCTTCTAGATCCATTTTTTTTTCTTTTCGGTGAGGAGAGGGAGGAGAATCGATTGGAGGCGATATTTCCTCGGGTTGCGAGTGCTGCCGACGAACACCATTAAGCGAGTTCACTGAACCACGCACACACATCGTATGATCTCCATCAATCGCGTCGTCGATCCGTCGTCATCATGCATCATCAGCATCATCTCTCATCGCCCCTCTCTCTGTCTTCCCCTTCTCAACCCATTACCATATCCGTATACTCTTTATAATCTTTACATTCTTCCTTCGAGGTTTATGTTCAGCAGCCAGCAACAACAACCTCGCCACGCAAAAGGTGTGTGTGTTGTCATCGTAATATTCATATCATGACATTTCTCTCTTGTTTAGAACCGAAAAGAGAGAGCGGAGAGTTCCTCTTAGGTTAGGCCTTTTTTTTTATTACTCCGAGTCGGTATCGGTGCCGTATTCCATATTTGTTTTTGCAAGCGTCAATCAATGAAATGCCTCTCGAACTCGGGGGGGGGGCGGAGAGAAGCGCTTAATAGGCCTGACGATCCGTTGAATTCCTTTACGAGCCTTTGACGCCGTCGATTTTCATCACGAACATCACGAACATTAACGAGTTCACGACCTTATTTTTCTCCCGTTTCGCTCCTCCGGCACAGTTTTGCAGTTTGATGCGCAAGTGCCACCGTATTCCTTTTTTTTTTTTAATATCCTACGGCGTGCACTTTTTTTACTTTCTGTTTTGCATCATCAATCCTTTGCGAACGTTCGTATTTCTTTTTAAAATACAATAATTCTTGATGCTGTATTATGGCGCAATAATGGTGCAATTGAAGTTTCTTTTCTTTTTTTGCGATGCAGTACTGCTAGTCTCCTGAGACATGGTATTAGTGAAAACTGTAAGCCGCATACACCCAGTAACCGTACAGGGAGATCGTATAGGGACCAATGTGTAAGCTAGATAGATGGAGAGACAGGTAGAAGCGAAGGCGAGTATCGCTTCTCGATCAGATGGATGGGATGATTGCAGTGGCAGTGAATTCGAAATATGATGTGGATATGTATTAGAAAGATCCCAAGCGTGAGTCCGCGAAGACGCCAAGGCACGTACGAACATGGCCAACTTACACCGACGTCAGCACAGCCGTTAGCACGGCGCTAAAAACGAAGGTCGCGGGTTGACATGGGAATATCACGAGCTTGTAATATATGTAACGAGCGTACGTAGAATTAATCATGATCAACATATAAAGAAAGCAACCAACGGTTCATGGCGTTAACAATCCCCCGATCTCCACGGCTATAATTCAATATTGGTATTTTGAAACTAGCGCCCAGAAAGTCAAATAGACTCGTTTGTTGTCATCAAAATTCAGAGGCGTGCGTGCGTGCAAAAGTCAGGAACATGCACCAAGTACAAACCCGGTGCAACTTGCTGTACCGCCAAGTTGTTCATCCAGTGCCGCGCTTCCCATATCACGCAGCGTCAATCACATTTCGCAAGTGTATTAGTGATAAGGGCTGGTTACTTGCACCCAATGATCCCTCCTGGCCGCAACGCCGTTGCATACGGTGCTCAGCCGTTGCGTGGGAAAGGCAATCTACCCCAACAACATCCATTTTGCACAGAAAAGCAAGCCAATGATTCGTTGAGCTGAATGCAGCGAAGTGGACGACCAGTTTGATGAATCATGAACCGAAGCAGAGCAGGCGAGAATATGCCCAGACAGACGCAACTGGACGCTAGCTTGGGTCGGATGCCACGATACGGGCAATTCATCAGAAGATCATGAGCATGTGCCAACGCGCGCGTTCACCAAGCCACGATGTGACTTTGCTGTACCGCTCTTACAAGGCCGTGTGCGTACGTTTTTGGTTGATACTGCTCAAGTAGGTTGAAGTATTTAGATCACTAAGAATGGTGGGGAAGAAGACCGTGCCTAGAATACTTATAGAGTTGGCAGCGCCACAACATGCTGCAAAGATTCATTTCACAGATCAGCCAGCTTTATCAAATCGTGTTGCAGGGGAGCAGATCAGGGATAAAATTCAAGGGGGACTGGGAAGGGGCTGGACAGTTTGTTTTTGTTTTGCCACAAGGTAGATGCCCAATGCGCCCAAGGAGCCCGGAATGGGTAAGCGTGGCGCGGCATAGAGATAACCAAGCTCCGTCCAGTTAATCCATAACGCTCCTATTTGCGTGGGGCAGTTCATGCTGCGTTGCATGTGGTAATGACCTAGACTCTAGAAACGTTTAACGCTCCCTGCATACGAATCGCTGAAAGAAAACTGGCCGAAGACGTACGTAAAGCGTTATTTGAACGGAAGGGGAGGGGGAAAGGTCAAGGTACAGAATTGCAAAGGGAGCAACTCACACCCCCAACGTATCGGGCTATTGATGACGCCCGCCTAAGAGAGCTGAAACGCACACGCCGCCATTCGCCGTTGCGCCGCGCCACATGCCCATGAGAGTGTCCCACGGACGTAAAAAATGAAGGCAACACAATGCAACGAATCGGAGTTGTGTTGACGGGTTTAGATCGTCGACATGAGGAAGGTCTATGAAAAATT